ATTAAGTTTTCTCTGAAATACCTAGAGCTATTTGTGTTTTCTTGGGAAGGTTCCAACTGTTTTAGACTTCTAAAAGTGGCCAGGTACAGGGGCTCATTCCTGTAATCTCAGCACTTTGGGAAGCTAAGGTAGGTGGATCATTTGAGCCCAGGAGTTCGAGATCACCCTAGACAACATAGTGGAAGCTGGTCTCTACAAAGTAAACAAAAATTTAGCCTGGTGTGGTGGTGTGTACCTGTAGTCTCAGCTACTTGATGGGGCTGAGGTGGAAGGATTGTTTGAGCCCGGGAGATCAAGGATGCAGTGAGCTGTGACCATGCCACTGCACTGCAGCCCAAGTGACAGAGTGAGACCCCATCTCAAAACAAAGGGGACAATTTAAGTTTGTACAGCCAGGAGGTGGAGGCTGCAGTAAGCCAAGATTGCACCACTACACTCCAGCCTGGGTGACAGAACAAGACCCTGTGTATAAGAAAAAAAAAGAAAGAAAAGAAAAAAGAAAACAATAACACAAGTTGAATAACTTCAGCAAGAAAATTGAGGCCTCTGAGTAAACCAACACGAAGTGTAGGAACAACACATTAGTATGAGATCAACTTCCTCTTTCCACATCATACTAGTTGTTAGGTACGGGTTGTGTGGCTCAACCCTGTAGAAAACCATGCACATTTTAGTTTATGTAATTGTCAGTCCTTAAAGTTGTACAGTTTACAACATGGTCATCTGTATCTAACAACACTGAGTAGGTAGACATTGTCAAACCTCATTTATCTTAGGTATTAATATTTATCTATTAGTAGTATTAAAGTTGTTTTAAGTAAAAGAAAGAAAGAACAGTAGCCTAAAGAAAACAATTATTTTCTTATATGTAAAAGTTTGTAGAGATGCAGTCCAGAGCCAATATAGCCACTTTTCTCTACAATGTCCACAGCACCTAGACGCTGGATTCCTTCCAGCTCAAGAGCCTAACAGTTCCCGCAAGTGTGAACCTCATTCTTGTCAAGCTTAGCTTCGTAGAAGGAAACATCTTCCTTCTGGGCAGCAGAATAGAGGAAGGGCCAAACAAAACAAAACAACAGCAACAACAAATCACGCCAAGGCAATGGAAAAATACCAAGTGTCTCCTAAGGAAGAGTCTCAGTAGCTACTCTGACCCTCTGCTTACATCTTCTTGGCCAGCACTTTCAGGACTGGGTTAGTGGATTTAGATAGTTCCTTCTTTCATCTATGGTCATCTTTAACGGGGAGAGAATCAGTTACCATACACTGATACTAATGCTCTGACCTTAAACTTAAGAGACTTTAGAAGACTCAGGATGTTAAAGGCCCCTCGAAAGAAATAGATACCATACCAGAAACCTAGAAACATAGATTTTCAGTGCTAGATTTTATCGAGATGAAAAAATAGGTAAATATTACCCAGCTAGTTTAAAACTAATGTAGAACTGAAAATCAAGTTTTTCAACTCCTGGTTCAGTGATCTCTTCATGATAGGTTGCTTCACAGAAAAACTGTCTTCCTCCTGTGGCATATTAAACATGACTGCAAATTATTTGCAAATCCTCCCCTCAAGTGGTGGAGTTTATTTTAATCTCAGCTGGCCTTGGGACTTGCATTGACAAATAGAATATGACAGAAGTGATACTGTAGATCTTCCAAGCCTAAGTCTCCAGAGCCTTGCAGCATTTACTCTTGCTCTCTTAGAATGCAGCTGCCATGGGAACTAGCCCAAGCTAGCCTGCTAGAGGCCCCCATGGAGGAGATCTGAGGCACCTTGGCCAACAGCCTCAGTCAACCATGAACCATGTGAGTGAGACCATGCTGGAATAGGTAGCCCTGAACTGGCCTGTTATGTGAAAACAAACACAAATGAGCACAGAGGATACTTCAGCTGTTCCTAATTTGCCAATCCATAGAAAGGAGAGAATAATTTTTTTAAGGCACCAAATAAAGGGTTGTTTATTATGGAGCAATAAGTAACTGGTATGTTTCCTAACCCCTTAATCGTATTTCTTGTGTTCACAGAGGGAGAACCACACAGCTTGTCCTAATCTTTTGTTTCTCATTGTTCCAAGTGAGACGTTTAAACATAAGAATAAATGCTTGTTTCTCTAACTATTGAGTCTTGGGTGGTTTGTCACAAACAATTATTATGGTAGTATTTGACTAAGACCTTGGTTTTAGCAAGAGCTTATGTAAATTTTCTTGAGGAAACGTACATTGAATTGACACAACTTATTAGAGTCTCTGTGTTCAGAGTACTGCCTTCAACACCTGTTGGACTGGGAAGAAAAAAGTGACATGTACAGAATACCAAAAACAGGCTGGCGCAGTGGCTCACACCTGCAGTCCCAGCACTTTGGGAGGCCCAGGTGGGTGAATCACGAGGTCAGAAGTTTAACACCAGCCTGGCCAATATGGTGAAACCTCGTCTCTATTAAAAATAGTTCTTATTTTCCTCACAAAATTTCTGTAAAGATTGAAGGACAACATAGAAGCAAAACATTTAGCACATTCCTAGCACAAAGGAGGTGCTCAGTAAAAAGTGATTATTTTTATTATTACCAGTATTTTATTTGATACTCTTATGACATCAAACAAAAGCTCCTGGAATTAGAATAGACAGACAGGAGAATTAAGGCAAGCAGGAGGCAGTGTCCACAAAGATAAATGTGGTCCATGTGCCCCAGCTGTTAACACACCTCTTCTCTGTGCTTAGATCTGAGTGGAGGCTGCTGCACTCCCATGACCAGGTATGACTGCGCTGGTGATGACTCAGCATGGAGTAGGACTTGGGTGATAAGAGGAAGCCATGCTCCTGAGACAGCTCCCAGGATGGACGTTGCTTTGCCTTCAGGAGGCAGCTGAGTAGGGATTGGTGAACCTGATAGCTGTGCTGCCTCATCCCTGTGGGTGGCTCAGCTTCTCTGACAGGGAGAGAATCTGAGTCTAGGCTGCGGCGCTGTCCATAGGGTAATGTCACATAGCACATTCCTTTTTCAACTTTCTCTTATCTAATCTAAGTGCTCTACATTATCATTTTCCTAAGGAAACATCAGCTCAGAGGATTTGATTGGTAGAAAAGGTGTGAGGAAGGGAATATATGTGAAGGAACTAAAAGCCCATGGGTAGAGTGTTGGACTTTCTGGTGAAGTGAAGTTTGCAAAGGAGGCACCATCAGGATGTACCCACACAGACCAAACACCTCTAGAATCCTGAGTCATCATTTTCCCCTCACACTGATTCCTACCCCCACCCTTAACCATAATTCCATTGTTTCTATCACTGGCATCACTATTCCCTTAGTTATGCAGAAATGCAACGTGGAGCTCCTCTGTGGCTGTATGATAGACCCCTCCTCCACTCAGTCCATTGCCATGACTTTATTCCATACAATTTTTCTTTCTACGCACTTCCCTCCCATCTGCCATCCCCCTGGGCTGGTCTCTATCTTCATCATTCCTCCAACACCAAGCTAAGCACTCTGTTTCTTGTCTTTTATCCAATCAGTCCGGATCCCCAATACCACACCAGTGTTTCTTAGATATTATTGTGTCTTGTCACACCTTTCCTCAAAAGCTTTATTTTCCCCAATGCTTTCTTTTCTAATGTATGAAGTTCTGGCTTTTCTTTATGACTTTCATGACACCCCAACCATCTGGCCCCAGGGGGCAGAATGGCTTTATTCCACTTCTCCACACTCACCGTCATCCGGCAAGTACACCATGGCCCTAGCACAGTGCTCATGGAATCTGGAAATATCGCCAGGGAATCATTTACAAGACTATCCTAATAAATTACATTTTTTTTTTTCCTGGGATGGGGAAACAAGGGACAGAGTTGAAATACCTTCCCCCAGAAATGTGCTTGCCTCACTGAGACCACAGGTAAGGGCTTAACAGGATGTGAGGAAGAGCATTTCCGGCTTGGAATGCAGTTTATTTCTATTAACATTTAGAAAGCATCTTGGGTGGGCAGGAATGAAAACCAGACACTGTACCTGCCATGACAGCATTTCAATCAATAAGGAGATGAAGAGGCAAGCTACCAGTGTAACAGAAAGCAGAATGAAAGAAAGAAGGGCTCAGTAAAGCCTTGTTTTGTTTTGTAGAAAGCATGAGACCCTATGAGGTAGGCATAGGCAAGTATTACCTTCATTTTCCAGATGACAAAACTTGCTTACCTGCCTCAGAGTTTAAGTGGCTTGTTTATTGTCACAGAGCTAATAATTAGCAGATTAGGGTCTCCTTGCTGGGTGATCTTTCAAATGCATGACTCTGCCAGCAGCCAGCAGAGCTATGAAACACCGAGAGAAACAATTAAGCATGCTTGGGAACATTGTGAATGGGCATGGAGCTGGGAGGCCTTCTGGGAAAGGTGGCATTTGACCTGGGAATTGATGAATCCCAGAGAAACCGATCAGACAGGTGTGAAAACAAAATTAAAATGGGGACTGGGCCTGAAAATTCCCAGGCAAACAAAACCAAGGACCTTAAAAATTGCCGTATTCTTGCTAAAACTACAAACAGACGCGAAGCTTCACTTGGGTCATTTCTGATAAATGCTTATGATAGAAGTAAAACTTAACCCCAGCCAGTGATAAGGAGCTAACTAACATATGATTATCTGACTAGGAACTTTCCAAAAAGTTACCTTAAAAAAGGCAATTACACAACTGCAAAGCAATCAAATAATGTTTTATTTTGCTTCTATAACTTCCCAGTAAATGCATGCCTCTGACATTTTGTTGTTGCAGCACTAAACCGTTGTCGGTCTGGTGCTCCCCAATTCATGAATTGCTTCTTACTCAAACTCTAAAATTTTACCGTGCCTCATTATTTTTTTTAATATACAGAAGAAAAGAGAGAAGGAAGAATATTTTAGAAATAAAGGAGCTTCATGGGCAAAGTCACAGTGCAAGACAAGAGGAGACCAAGGGCAAGATTGCTTGGGAAGTGAAGACTCCCTTCATCAGCTCTCCTGAGAAGCTGAGATAAAGGGGGAGGAGAAGCCTGGGTGCCCTCCACTGATAAGCAGTCTCCACCCAGAGGCCAGTCCGGTGTGTCTGGGGACAGGGGAAAGAGCAGCAGAAGTGCCCCTTCTGTGGGGTGGGGGCAGAAGGGGGACAGTTTCCTGGAACCCCAGTTCTCCGAATCAGCACCTAGAGTGGAATCAGGCAGGATTCTGTGGCCACAGAGGACAGACAGATGGTAAGTCCCCTTTTGGAGTTGGAGGCCTAGGGTGGGGGGTAAGGGTGGCTGTATGCAAATATCCTGTCCCCACTGGAGGGGACGGACTGTGAGGCTTACAGAGTAGAAAGCGGGAGAGAGAGGGAGGTCATGTGAGAGGGAGTGAAAAATGGCACATCCAATGGACAGGTTCATTCTGAAACCCATCTGAGAACAGAGTCCCAATATAAAAATATGCGTGTGGGGGCAGGGCGGGCAGAGGGGGTATCAAAGTGACCTGATAAAACTCTCTTTAATGCACTGCTTCCTGAACCAGCTTCTCTCTCCTCCTTCTCCCTCCACTCACTTCAGGAGTGGGGGGACCAAAGTGAGGAAGAGCCCAGGGAACCCAACCAGGCAGGTGGAATGGGGACTCTCTGGAGCCAGGAAGTAAGTGGCCTCCTCTCCTGGGGCTGGAATACACTGATGTTGTCACTCTAGGCTCTAAATTCACACAAACACTCATCCCATAATGGTCTGCTTCGTCCTCATCCAAAACAGCTGATATTCCTTGTTTTCTCATCTCCCAGGCATTAAAGTGGACTGGCTTTAGAAAGACTTGGGAGAATTATTTCTGTATAAAGGGACTGTGGCACTAACAGATTCATTCTCTCTCCCCTCCTCTCCTCTTCTACCCATCCCTGTCTCTCAATCCTCTACCTTGTATCTTTCACCTCTTGGTTCCTCCCATAGATCTCTCCAGAAGAGAGGCTGCCTGTGGAAGGGAGCAGGCCATGGGCAGTGGCCAGGCGGGTGCTGACAGCTATCCTGCTTTTGGGCCTGCTCCTTTGTTCTTCTGTGCTTTTGTTCTACATCTTCCGGAACTGTGGCCCTCGTAAGCAAGCTCCCAGACCCCCTAACCTAGTCAGCCCTCCCCCAACCCTGGTGCCCAGTCCCTGCTCCTGGGACTTCAAGAAACTCACCTTGACCCTTGGGGTCCCCATGGTGCTTCCTCCTCCCTGCAGCCTAACCATTTCCGTTTCACCAACTCCTCCGTTAGTTGCTCACCTGATGTTCTTTGCCTAGCCCCTTGGGGTAGCCCGGGTCTCTTTCCCTCCTTTCCCAGCTCTGAGCTTTTCCCCACAGGCCCCTGTGAGACATCTGTGTGTTTGGACCTCCGCGATCATTATCTGGCCTCTGGGAATACCAGTGTGGCCCCCTGCACCGACTTCTTCAGCTTTGCCTGTGGAAGGGCCAAAGGGACCAATAATTCTTTTCAGGAGCTTGCCAAAAGGAACAAAAACCGACTTCGGAGAATCCTGGGTGAGCGAAGCAGGGTGGAAGATACTCTGTGCAAGCAGGTGACCCCGAACCCTGTGTAGTTCCAGGTGGGATAATAGGGTTGGATGATTGGAGATGATGGGGGAATAAATGAGGTAGGTTAGTGGGCGCTGTCTGGGTTTGCTCCTCTCTCACTGTTTCCTGCCACCTTAGGTACCCTTCTTCCATTTCTCTTGGTCTCTGTCTGCATTTTGTCTTCATCTAATTTCCATCTTCTTTCCTTCGCCATACATCCATAATTAATCCATTTTCTCCAGCTTGTCCCTTTCAGCAAGCTCCATCTTTGTTGCTTCCTCCAAATGTTCAGCTTCTATCCCATGCATAGTGTCTTCCTCCACCAGCATCTTCTCAGCACCTCCTGCATTTTAATTCTTTTCTCTGTCAGTCTTGTTCTCTAACCTCCGAAACCGCTAGTCTCCCGATGCCTCCTTGTGCATATTACCCTCTCCCTCTCACCATGCCGCAGCTCCCCCCTCTCACAATGATCTCTTGCTTCTTGCTTCTCCATCATAACATAGGACTGTGCCAAGCAAGGTGGCCTGGAAGAAGTAGGATCATAGAGATGGATGATTGGAGATGAGGGATGATGGTAGAATGAAAGAGGTAGGGTGGTGGGGTCACAAATGAGAGAGCACTTCATCACTGTGCAGAAGAGAAAAAATGGGGAAGCACAAAGGATATGCTGGAAGAAGAGGAGAGCTGAGTTAATTGGCAGTGGAAGTAAAGTTCCTGCAGATGAAGGCTGCAGAGGAAAACTGCCAGGACCGACAGGAAAACCAGAGGAGGAACTGAAACTGTGCAGGAGGTTGGAAGTGGGGCCCAGGAAGTTGGTGGATGCTGGTGAGGGTTTGGGAATAAGAACATATAAGATAGGCATGCATTTCCAGTGCAAGGGAACCTAAAGAATGTGTTGGCACTGTCCATTGGAATCTGGGAAAAATAAATGCATCCCTCTGCTCTCTGTTTTTGATGGGGAAAGAGTGGGAGGTGGACTCTCTTTGGGTAGATGGATACTTTCAGGGAAGGCACAGAGATAACAAGAAAAAACACGCTCAGGATAAATTCTATTGCCTACAATGGGATGAACAGATATTAGGGGGACTGAGGATTGAAAGAGTGTTAGGTATCAGAGGGTGGATGATTCAGAGAGACTTGCATTTGATTATTCTAATATGTGTGTTTGTTTCCTGGGATCAGTGGATGAGGAGTCCGGACTAGGGGAGTCCATCCCTGTTTCTTCTCTTTGCTAAACCTTTCCTTATGAGTTTTCTTCTCTCCAACTCCTTAAAGTTCTCTAGTTCCCTGAATTTCTCTAATTTCTTCAATCATTTCTTTCCTGCCTTCATTTCTGTCTTTTCTCCTTTGCTCATATCCCACTTACTGCTTTCTCCTTTCTTTCACATCTTTCCTTCTTGTTTTTCTTGCCCCACATTTCCTTCATTTTCCATAGCTCTTCTCCACTTTCCCTCTCCCTGCTTTCGTCTTTTCATCAAGTTGATCCATTCCAAATTGGGCATTCCTCTCATCTTTCTTATTTTCCTCATCTCTATTCCTCCCCCTCCTCCCATACTCTGTGTGAGTCTGTCTTTCCTGTAAATTTCCTGTCTCCCACCCTCCCTGTCTGCCACTATACCAGTTGCCACCCCTTTTACTCTCCTGCAGATGAAAAGAGTCAAACTCTGTAAAATATTTGAAAAGATTTATTCTGAGCCAAATATGAGTGACCGTGGCCTGTGATACCGCCTTCTGGAGATGCTGAGAACATGTACCCAAGGTGGTGGGGGCACAGTTTGGTTTATTATTATACATTTTAGAGAGGCATGAAACATCAATCAAATACATTTAAGAAATACATTGGTTTGGTTCAGAAAGGTGGAACAACTCTAAGGGGCGGGGTTGGCTTCCAGGCTGTAGGTGAACTTAAACATTTCCTGTTTGACAATTGGTTAGGTTTGTCTAAAGATCTGGGATAGACAGAAAGGGAATGTTGAGGTTAAGATAAAGATTGTGGAGAGTGGCTGCCCTTAGAGACAATTCGTGACAAACGTTTCCTCTTCAGATTTTAGTTAATCGAAAGATCTAGCTATGTTAATAGAGATTCTTTACAGATGCACATTTTCCCCTACAAAGAACAGCTTTGCAGGGCCATTTCAAAATATGGCAAAGAAATATGGTTTGGGGTAAAGTATTTTGATTTTCTTCTTCATCTCTTAATGTTATGCCAGAATCAGGTTGGAAAGTAAATCATGTTACATAGGGTTAAATAAAATCATAAGATTACACAGGATTTGTAGGGCATGACTCCCCAGATCCCTTATATAGGAATTTGAGCAAGATAAAAATATCAGAGTTTAGTCCTCACTCCCATGCTTCCTTTCTAGAGGCCCAGAATTCCCGGCACCCAGGCTCTGGGGAGGAGAAAGCCTTCCAGTTCTACAACTCCTGCATGGATACACATGCCATTGAAGCTGCGGGGGCTGGTCCCCTCAGACAAGTTATTGAGGAGGTGAGAAAAGTTGGAATATTAACTTTTCTGGATACATCACATATGGGACCAATGTGTGCTTGGGGCTGCCATTTTTTTTTCTAGAGGGTGGGTCTTCTTCCTAAGGCTCCCCAAGTTCTAGGAGGGAGATGGAGATGAAAATGATTATGTCAGCCAGGCGCGATGGCTCACGCCTGTAATCCTAGCACTTTGGGAGGCCGAGATAGGTGGATCACCTGAGATCAGGAGTTCAAGACCAGCCTGGCCATTATGGTGAAACCCCATCTTAAAAAAAAAGAAAAGAAAGAAAAGAAAATGGTTATGCCCTGTGAAAGTATAAGGACCTTGGAAGAAGTCAGAGAAACAAGGATAGGTGTGGCACCCTAGAGGAATCAAAGGGGTCAGACCAGAGGTCAGGCAGTAGCAGCTGCATAAAAGGAGATCAAGACAATGGGGGATGGGCCCCACCGATTCTTATGCTCAGCCCCCTCTCTCTCCTTTAAAGCTTGGAGGCTGGCGCATCTCTGGTAACTGGACTTCCTTAAACTTTAACCGAACGTTGAGACTTCTGATGAGTCAGTATGGCCATTTCCCTTTCTTCAGAGCCTACCTGGGACCTCATCCTGCCTTTCCGCACACACCAGTCATCCAGGTGAGGGATGTACTGGTGAGGACACTGTAGGACTTGACCTGCCTCCATCTCTAGCCAATCATCCCTCAGAGGAAGGTTGCAGGTTGGGGAGATAAGACACATGTGTGATATAGGAAACAACCCTACCTTAGGAGACATTATTGATATGAAAGTCAGGGACATTAGCTGGGGATGGGAGACGGAGCCGCAGTGCTGGAAGGATGGAAGTAGGCCTGGTCTTTCTTACTTAATCTGTATTAATCTCAGAGCTCCTTAACTAGCTCTCCTATCTCTAGGATTGCCCTCATTTTATTTACTCTTTATTTTTACCAGAGGGAACTTTTCTGAACCAAGGGCTAACTGACTATGCTACTGTCTGTGTTTAAGTGCTTGTCAGTGACCCAGTGGCTTGCCAGGTCATCAGAATCTTGTCCCTAATCTTTAGTAAAGCTTTGCAAGCACCTTGTGATCTGACCCCTACATACTTTTCCAGCTTATCTCCTGTACATTCCTTCTCTCCCTTACCCCCCAGCCAGGCTGACTCACTGCTAGTTCCAGGAATATTCCTCAGTTCTTTACATATGCTGCTCCCTGTGCCTGCAACCATCCCTCACACTCAACCTGGAAAACTTACATGTTTTTCAAATGTTGGCTTTATTATCTCTTCCAGGAAGTCTTCACCAACACCCTAGTTATGAGTTAGGTGAAGCCCATCTCTCCCTCCTCTCATTTCCTCATACTCTCAGCATGTATCACTCTGTGTTACATGAGCTTCCTCAGAACAGGATCATGCTTTATTCACCTTTGTTCCTCAGGACTTAGCACGGAGCCAGGCAGCTAGAGGCTTTTGCCAGGTATTTGTTGAGTGAGTAACTAAAGAAAAACATTGAATCTATCGCTATTGTGTCTAAACAATGTAATGCTATCTGTATATTTGAACCCTACTGTCAAAAGAGCTACAAAATTATCAGAGGACAAATACAAAAGAAGACTCGGTTATCATTATGAGGTATTCTAAAATTTAGTTCTAAACAGTGTGCTCAGGAGTTTAACTGATGTGGCTTTTGGGGACTGGTTAACTGGTTAAGGAAAGGCTCAGAGAGGAGAGAATGAGAGAAGGTGAGCTAAGCCAGCCTTGAAGCATGATTAATCCACACGGGAGGAGGTGAAGCTAAGGGACATTGGAAATCCTGAGCTAGGGGAAGAACCTGGAATGCTGTGATTCCTCTGTGGAGTCAATGAGGAGGCTGGTCTATTTAATTGAGGATTTGGAAGGAAGGGCGGGGTGTAGGAGGAGGTAAAAGTGAAGCTGAAGACATAAGGTTGAGTCTGATTCTTTCTAAGAAGATAGGCAGAGGTGATAACATTTGACATAATGATTTTTTAAAAAGATACTGAGGACATCCAACTGTTATGATAACTGTGCATAGAGCAAATATTTTGATGGTTGCGCATAAAGTCAGCAGTTTTGAAGGTCAATCTGGGGGTGCTGAGGAAACTAAATGAGCATTTTTGAGGCCCTGAGATAGTGGAAGAAATGGAAAGGAAGAGCCAGGCACAAGGATTTAGGATACTTCACCCTAGTGATGATAGTCCATGGTGTTCATAGAGGATTTGGTGACTGATTGGATATAAAGAAAGTGGGGGATTACACTATGATCCCATTGTTTCGATTTAGTATTAATGGGAGGAAGATGGTTATCATCAGTGTGAGTCTGGATAGTGTCTTGGGTTAAAAACAGGTAGGAAGAATGGACTACAGAAGAAGAACTCTAAAGACAGAGGGCAGAAGGGAGCCAGAGAAGAGTGAGTACAGTTGGAGAGATGGGAGCTAGACCAGTATGGTGGGCCACAAAGAAAAAAAAAGGAGCTTCAGGAAGGAGGGGTCAGCTCAGAGAACAAGGAATGAGAAGACACATTTGGAAACCTAGAGATACTTTCAAAACAGTTACAGAAGTGGACACAGACTGTACAGAACTTAGGAGGAAGGTAAGAGAGTGGAAACAATGGACATAGATGCCTTTTTATTCTTTGAACTTTGGACATACAATGTAGCAAGAGTCAAGTGAAAGGTTTTTTCAAGATGGAGGAAAAGTATATGGGCCAAGGTAAGAGTGGGACATTAAAATTGGAGAAGAAAAGGAAGAGTAGAAGCAAAGATCTTCAGAATAGAATCAAGGGCTCATCAGGGCCAGACTAAGGTGAAATATACAGGGTGCTTGCCTGGGTGCTAATTTAAAAAGGTCCACAAAACTCAGTATGATGATAAATACTGTAGTATTTTAATAAATATTCCTAAAACATCAAAATCAATGCAACAATCTGCGATGAACCAAATATCAAATTTTTCTTCATTATGAATTTATTTTGAAAAAAAATATGCTTTTTCCCCCAAAAATGGGACAAAATTCTATGTGAATATTTTTAAAAATACTAGTGATTTTTTTTTTTCAAAATGAATCAAAAATACATTGAGGACTTTTCTTGAACACATCATGATTCTTTTTGAAATTGACTAAAAGTACATTGTGTATTTTTTTCTAGGAAAAAAAGTCCATGATAAGCAAAGTTTTGAGATTTTATTTATCACACAATTTTGGTAGTAATTTTTATTTTAAAAAATCTTAAATATTTATCTTAATTACTGAATTTTTTAAAAGAGTTTATTTGTGCAAAGAATGATTCATGAATCGGGAAGCATCCTGAAGCAGTAGAGGTTCAGAGAGCTCCACCCAACAATGTAGGCAGGCAGTATGTACAAGAAGAGGAAGTGACACCCAGAAACAGCTTGATGGTTACAGGTGTTGCCTTTAATGGGCATGATCTGATCACTTGGCAGCCTGTGGTCGGCTGAGCTCAGCTGCTATGGCTGGCTGAGATGGAGCTACCTATTAGAAGAATATACTCCAAAGTTAGGTTGAAGTTTGATTACTGAGTTTTTTTGGTACCTCTTAGATTTTGTACGTGGGACAGGTTCCATACCTCACTTGCCCTGGCCCTGACCCCGATATGAGGAATAGCTCCTTTTAGGATGCTGATTATTATGCTTCTGCCTTGCTGGGCACACCCACACTGGTTGTAATACTCACCATCCCTTCCCATTTTCACAGCTGGGCTCTTCTTCTCCTGCCCCTCAACCGCTAATCCATCCCTTTCTTTGTACTCTTGCTTCTCCTCTGTTCAATCTTTATGTCGATCTCCCAAGGCCATCTCCCATGGTATATTCCCCACCTCCCCACACCTTCCCTCTCCATCCCCCATGCTCCCTGCTTCTCTCCAGTCTCTCTTGTGTCCAGATAGACCAGCCAGAATTTGATGTTCCCCTCAAGCAAGATCAGGAACAGAAGATCTATGCCCAGGTAAGATGGTGCATGGACAAAGGCCCTGCCCTCTGACGCCAGGAGAAAGGCAGGGGCCTCTGGCACCCGTAACTCATGTTTCCTTCCTCCAGATCTATCGGGAATACCTGACTTACCTGAGTCGACTGGGAACCCTGCTGGGAGGAGACCCAAACAAGGTGCAACAACACGCCTCCTTGTCCATCTCCATCACTTCGCAGCTATTCCAGTTTTTGAGGCCCCTGGAGCAGCGGCAGGCACAGGGCAAGGTCTTCCAGATGGTCACTATCGACCAGCTCAAGGTGCCTGGAACTGGGAACCAGAAGACTGTGGGCATGGGGACCCCCCTCCCAAATATTACCTCCTCTTCTCCTTCATCCTAGTGCCCTTAATTCCTTTTCATCCTGTCTCTGGCTCCATCCCCTTCCCCAATCAGCTCCTTCCCTTCTTTTTCTCACACCCAAAGGGAAGCCTTTTCCCCTTCCTTCTCTTCTCTTTTCCTATCCCCCCTCAGCTTTGTGTCCCTCCTCTAAGGAAATGGCTCCTGCCGTCGACTGGTTGTCCTGCTTGCAAGCGACATTCACACCGATGTCCCTGAGCCCCTCTCAGTTACTCATGGTCCATGACCTGGAGTATTTGAAAAACATGTCACAGCTGGTGGAGGATCTGCTGCTAAAGGACAGGTTCGCCCAGGTGGGATTGGGGAGATCATGGAAAGGGAGGAGAGCCTGAGCACCGTAGGTCTCAGGGGCAAAGGAGACCTTGGGGAGGCAGGCTGGTAAAGGACTCCTGAGAAGATAAGAGGAACTTGCTACCTGTGGTGGCAGAGAAGCATGGGGTGGGTGGCACAGAGAGGATGGAGGGATAGAGAAGGATGTGTCTTGGGGAGCATGGGTAAGGACGGATACACACGACATGAAGAATGTAGGGTCAACCAAGACGTAGGGTATGCTGAGAGTAGAACACCAGCCAGTAAAGAGCCTCTGAGCTGTAGAAGATGCTGGAAGACCCAGACACAGAGGACAGTTGAGTGCATGTATGTCTTTTTAGCAGCTAAGGACTGTGGGCAGGAGGAGGAGGCACATAAGAGAGGAGATGAAGGTGGTGAAGGCTGGGGATGCTTAGGGGAAGAAAGCAAGAGGAGGGGCCATTCCTCAGGTGTGGTGTGAGGATTCTGGAGCTCTTAGGGAAATAGTGTCTAAGCATTTCTGCTGGTATCAGGAACTCAAGGAGGGGTTGGGTTTGGGGACATGAAAGCGTGGCTTTTTATTGGGTTCTCTGCATCCCCTGATCCCTGGGTGGCTACCACCTGAAAGTAGTGCCTTTCTTCGAAGGGTTTGGACCCAAGACCCTTCTTCATGATGGCATCAGCATCTAGAAATTCCTTTTGAGGGAGGTAACTGCCCATTCGCAGAGAGTGAGCAGACTCACATAAGGGTGCAATGCAGCCCAGGTCGGAGCATTGCTGGTAGAGTAGAGAGGAGTCACAGAGCCCAGCTTACTTATGCTTATGAGACATGTCTGAGGATAACCTGAGATTTCCTGACTGTGGAAGTAAAATCTGTTTCATGACATGAATCCAGACTTCATCTAGCCCAGAGCTTCCTTTCCCTGTGATTTTGAAGGCTGCCTCTTCATCTAGTTCCTTTTACTAAGGAGCAAGATCCCACCCCAACCCACACCACAAAAAGCTCTTTCTGGCCTGGGTGCATGTTAAAACAGTTACTGATACAGAGGAGAAAGGGCTGCCTTGAGGAGTGTTCAAGGTGACTTATACAAGGGAGGCTTTTCGTGAGGCATCTCCAGATTCGTGGGGTATATGTGTGGGTCTCTTTTGTCTCCATAGGGACTTTCTGCAGAGCCACATGATCTTAGGGCTGGTGGGGACCCTTTCTCCAGCCCTGGATAGTCGATTCCAGGAGGCACGCAGAAAGCTCAGCCAGAAACTGCGGGAACTGACAGAGCAATCACCCATGGTGAGAAGAGGGGGGACTGTATTTGCCCAGATACTCGAAAGGAGCATCTACTCTTTTGAGGAGTAAATGTTGGCATCTCTGTCTCGGGGAGGGAGGGGGCATGATGGTAGATGCCCCCACATGTCTTGGCTTTCCATAGAAGCAGGCAAGTTGGACAGACAAAGTTTAACTTGAAAACCAAGATCCTACATGCCAGACCTTCAGGCACACGTCTCCCAGACTGACCACCTCTCTGGCTTCTTGCTGGGTGTTTGAGCTCAAATATAAAACTCTGAAATTATCAAGAACTGCCCTTTCTTTGTCATAACACTTACACTATTTGCTCAGGATAACTTGGACATAGAACTTAACGACGTATTGGGATGAGAGAGAAATATGTTAAGCAGTGGTCTGTCTTCTGTCTAGTTGATTTCATGTTCAAATGTGCTTCACAAAGAGCTGATCTCTGACATCCAGTGTGGTCCACTGGGCCACATGTAGGCTTCATGGCACAGATGTGGATATATCAGAGGAGGGGCCTGGGTAGAAAACGCATTTCACTAACCAGAGTCTACTTATTACTTAAGACGCAGAGATGCTCCTTTGTGAAGAATCTTGAAATCCCAAGTTGGATATATCCAAATGTAAGCAGAAGAGTCTAGTATATTGGATATGTCCCAGCTATTTCTTACATGCCTGGATTTGGCTGGAAATGCCTGTTTTTAGATTCTCCACAGAAAGGGTTTCTGAACTGCAGCATACACACATCAGTTTAACTCTGTAAGTTGAAAGCACACATTGACAACCATTCCGTTAGATAGCTCCGTTTTCGTTTTAGAGCCAGATATTTCTCGTTACAGCATATACTCCCATTCACTCTGGAATATCCAAACGCTGCTCCTAGAAGAAAGGTATTTCTAACTTGCTGAATCTAAACATAGATGCAACTCCCTAAGGTGAACGAACACACAGCAGAGCAGTTTCAAAGATACGTTTCTTCTGTGTTTTAGATGCAGTCTTACTGCTATTTCTTATATGCCTGGATTTGGCTGGAAATGTCTGTTTTTAGATTCTCCACAGAAAGGGTTTCTGAACTGCTGCATGCACACATCAGTTTAACTCTGTAAGTTGAAGGCCTTAGTTTAGTCTTAAAAATCACTGGATTTTTTTTTTTCTTAGTAGTGATGTTGGGTACCAGCCCCAATCCCATACGTGGGTGCCCTTAGTCCCCGCGGTGACGAGGGATTGAGAAAAGGAAATAAAGACAGACACAAGAGTAGAAGTTACAGCATGGGTCCAGGGGACCAACACAAGTGTGGGAAACGCGTTGGCCCCGAGCTCTGGGCTCCAGACACTTTTTATTATGTGCATAATCTCATTGATCTTATGGGCGTGGAAGGGGAGGGTAAAGGGGTAGGTAAGACAGCTGGGCAGAGAGCACTTGAGATCCTTCTAAGGCGTGCTAAACTAGTACTCAGAGTTTATCCCCGATTGTTATCAGGGTGCGGCTGCATTGGAAGTGTAGCGGATGAGTAGCCACCTGGTCTGACCACACCCAATGCATCAAGGGGCTTTTATCTCCAGAGCATTGAGGACGTGGAGCAATTAAAATCACTCCATATTCCGAGAACCTAGGCAGAGCCTGAGCTGTTCCGTGATCTCTTCCCTGCAAGGCTTTTCACCTCCATGCCAGCTCCCATCTGCAAAGACCCTCCCAGATCTTGTGAGTAGAGGTCACCTCCCTTCTCAGAGATCTTTGCATAAGCCCTCTTTACAAGGCCCTCCTGCAGTCTCCATGTTGAGAAGGCATTCATGGGACGAGAGCAGTATTACCTGCTCTGCAACCACCCCGAGGTGTTCCCGGTGTTACTGCGCTCTCGAGTGGTCTTTACCTCAGGCCTCCTGTTGCCGCTTGATTTCTAATTAACTGCACCAATGATATAGTTTAGCTCAGTGTATAAACTTCAGCGTGCTCTGAGCCAAGCAAGCTTATAATTATTTAGCTAGAATTAACATGGGTCTCCCCCTGTCCATCTTGACCCACATTTGGGGGCCATTTCTCTGCCTTGGAGAAACTCTCTGCTTTGCCAACCTAAAATTGCTGTGGAATTCAGAGAAGGAAAAGGTATTCACAGGGACTGGAATGTAGTTACTGCTTATCAAGGGCTTATAATGTACTAGACACTTTTGAAATCCTTTAGATCTATCAGCTGATTTAATCTTTACAATTCCACGAAGTACCTTTTTGTTCCTATTTTAAAGATGAGGAAACAGAGGCGCTAAAGTTAAGGAAATTGCTCAGGTATGATGGTAAGTTAATAGAGTGAGGATTTGAACCCTGGCAGTCTGGCTCCAGGGTCTGTGTTGTTTACTCATTGTGCTAAAAATGCAGTCCTCCTGAGGAGCGCCACTTGGGTTGTAGAGTCCCCAAGAAGCTTCTGCCCAGCTTTTTTCTTGATTCAGGTGAAGCAGAGCAGAGCCCCAAGTTTTCTTGGTTGGGATTGCTACAAAATCCCTGACAATAAACAGCTACCTATAAATGTCAGCACTATGGCCTCATGGCACTTCTTGGAGGCTGTAAAGTGCTCATGTTGAGGCTCAGGCTTAAAGAATGCAGAAGGCTGGCCAGGCACAGTGGTTCACACCTGTAATCCCAGCACTTTGGGAGGCCAAGACGGGTGGATCATGAGGTCAGGAGTTCGAGACCAGCTTACTCAACGTGGCGAAATCCCATCTCTACTAAAAATACAAAAAATTAGCCGGGCGTGGTGGTCGGTGCCTGTAATCTTAGCTACTCAGGAGCCAGAGGCAGGATAATCACTTTCACTTGGGAGGTGGAGGTTGCAGTGAGCTGAGATTATGCCACTACACTCCAGCCTGGGTGACAAGAGTGAAACTCCACATCAAAAAAAAAAAAAAAAAAAGAAGAATGCAGAAGGCTTAGATGTCCTGAAGCTGTTATCTTTTCCACTAGGGCACATAATTGTCCTTAGGCTTAAAAGCTGAATTAATCTGTGACAACAAATAGTTGTGTAACCTTGGGGAAGCCACTTCCCCTTTCTGGAACAACAGTATAAAATATGACACTTAATAATAATGATGATAGCTGATACACATGGGGTAGTCACTGTCTGTCAGCACTTAGTGCAGGTTATTTCATTTAAACCTTCCAAAAACACTTCGCGGTTTTTAATGCCCATTTTGCAGCTGCAGAAATAGGCTCGGAAAGGTCCAGAAACTTTCCCAACACCACACAGCTCACAAGTAAATGAACAGACTCCAAAACAGATGTTTTGGCTCATAAAGTCATGTTTTTAACCACACAGTGTACAGGATTGAGAAATAAGTAGGTGCTACAAATAAAGGTTAGAAAACTTGTTTGTAAAGGGCAAGATAGTAAATATTGACTTTGTGATCCATAAATGGTTGGCGTTACGGCTACTCAGCTCTGTCCCTGTAGTGCAAAAACAGCTGTAACCGAAGTAAATGGATGCGTATGGCTGTGTTCCCAGGGGATCCTGGTTTAGACAGCAGATATTCTTGGAGTTCCCAAGAGGGAGAGATCAGGGAGCATTTGAAGGATCAGTAGCATCTCTCTGCAGTAGGCAGAACTGGCAAAATGTCTAGAGAGAGGAAGGAGTTTTCTGGCAAAGAAAGAGGCATCATCTCATGAGGACAGGGCAGGAGGGAGGCTGGCTAAAACTTGGTGCAGTGTGAGGGATCCTCCTGGTGGCTTTGGCTGGGAGGAGAAGACTAGGCAGGCAGCGTCCACTGATGCCCCCGGAGCGTGCTCGCGGTGTTTGATTATCAGCAAGGAAGCCAGGGCACCTGGAGCAGAGTGACTCTGACAATAGTGGGGAGGGAATCAGAGCGGGAGGGAGAGAACCATACAGCTACCTATAAATGTCAGCACCATGGCTTCATGGCACTTCCTGGAGGCTGTAGAGTGCTCATGTTGAGGCTCAGGCTTAAAAAATGCAGAAGGCTGGCAGGGAGCGGTGGTTCACTCCTGTAATCCTAGGAGTCAGGTGGGCCACTGTAAGGACCTTTGCTTCTGTCTGTATGAAATAGGGACATGCAAGTTTGGGTGTGGTGGCTCACGCCTGTAATCCCAGCACTTTGGGAGTCCAAGATGGATGGATCATGAGGTCAGAAGTTCAAGACCAGCCTGACCAACATGGCGCAACCCCGTCTCTACTAAAAATACAAAACTTAGCTGGGTGTGGTGGCGTGTACCTGTAATCTCAGCTATTCGGGAAGCTGAGGCAGGAGAATTGTTTGAACGCAGGAGGCAGAGGTTGCAGTAAGCTGAGATCCCACCATTGCTCTCCAGCCTGGGCAACAGGGCAAGACTCCATCTAAATAAATAAATAGGGACATGCAGAGGGATTTATCTCATTTATGTTTTAAAAGAACATATTTTAAGGTTAGCAACGAGATAGCCTGATGATGAGTGATGTTTAAGAGGAAGAATGGAATCAAAGACATCACCTAGAGGTTGGCCTTGATATGATCATAATGTTTGGTTCTATGCAGTGGCCATTAATTACCGACTTCTGATCATATTCTTCTGAATGAATTATAAATTTATAGTGCCCTTATACAGAAAGATTTCTAAATCTCATTATTGGACCATCTTTGGATGATTAATTTTGAATAGAGTTACAGTCAATGAAAATGGCTGTTAAGTCAGGTTTTCTTTTATGAAACTTGGGAAGATGGGTTTTGAGAAGTAACAGCAGAAGTTCACATTTGTGATGATTAAATGTGAATGATTTATATTCAGCCCAGCATCTCAATTTATTCAGGTCTTCCCACTTTGGATCATTTGCAGTTTTATTCAGTGTGTCTTCATCCAGACCACTGTTAAAAGATCCTGAAGGGAGAAGGACATCAGGTCAGGTTTTTGAAGACCTAGCTACAGATTTATCCATTCATTTATGTAACAAACATTTATTGAGCACCTACTGTATTCCGGGTACTTCTCTAGGCACTTGGAATGCAGCAGTGAACAAAACAGTCAAATAAATAACCCTGCCTTCAGCCACATATCCTGGTGAAGGAAGAAAGACAATAAACTAACAAAATAATAAAATATGTTAGGTGGTGTTATGAAGAAAAGCAAAACAGGAAATGAGAAAAAGAAATGCTAAGCAAGGATTAATTAGAATTCTTAGTAAGAATGTCAGGGGAGGTCAAGTTAGCTTGAAATCATTCACCATTGTGTTTACCTATGTTGCAGCCGGATGCGACTCCACCCAAATTGCACTCTCATTCATCATCAGTTTCTCTAATTCACTAGGACTCAAATCTGTGTGTTTTCCAAGCCTTGCAAAACCAAGATAATGCCAACAGAGTGGGGTAGTGCCGTAGAGTACTTAGGGTATTACTTCCCCTGATCCCAAACCTTTGAGGAAAGTAGGCTAGGTATTGTTTTCATTTTGACAGCTGGTGTAGTGGAAGCACAGGGGTTTAAGTTAATAACTCAAACTTAGTAAGTACTAATACTCTATTCAGCGGTAGGATGGTAGTGGTGCTTGAGGATGAATTTTGTCTCTAGATGTGTTTCATTAGCCTGTAGAGTCTTTTGCAAACTTCGAATTAATCTCCAACATTCAAAAATTCAGATATGACATGCCAGTATTCAGGTTTCCAGCCTGTGGGGTGTGTGTGTGTGTGTGTGTGTGTGTGCATCTGTGTGTCTGTGAAGCTTGGGAAGCACTGGGCTAGCCTTCTCCTGTGGTGACAACTGACTGTCACTACATGGCATAGCTCGATTCGAGCTGGGTGTGCTCTCCAGGAGGCTGTAGCCCCACTGTGCCCCGTGGCTCTGATGTTGCATTGCAATTCTCTGTTATGCTTCTGCATGGCCCCTATTGGATGGAGTCTGTGGCTTCTGGCCTATCATACACCTAGTTTCATAAGCCTTTTAACCAAAGGAATTTTTATTATTTTGGCATTATTTTTCTTCATTGATTCTATCCTAGCTCTTAGCATTTACATATTATTTTCCAAGTGTTCAAAAACTGTTTAATGATTCGTTCTACAATTGTGTTTAGAAATTAACATTAAAGATTCCTGGTTGGCCTGTAATCCCTAAAATTTCCTTTCATCCTAATCCTATAGAAGTTGGGTCAATTTTTTGCTTCCCTCCAGACTCTTAGAATTTGTCCTGGTTTCTGTCATTCCTCAAATATTATTTGTGGTTCTGAGGTTATACATGCAACTTTCTTTGGTGCCCTAAAATGAGTCCACTGAGTTTCATTAACTTGGGTTTGAAGTATTTATTCTATTGTTTATATTTTGGAGACTTTCTTTTCTAATTCTAATTCTCTCCCACCCCATCTCTAGCTCTCCCTTTGCAGACAGTGTGGTACGCACTACCATTCCACATCTCGAGAGACAGCTGTAGTGGTCTGAGGTGGCGTTTGCCACCTCTGATAGTCAGGTCCCACGGCAAGGCACGTAGGAGAAATGATCAGCCTCCAGCAAAGGGCATCAGGAAACAAATCAAGAACCAGGAGGGGTGAAAAGGGCAGGCCAATCCACACCTCCAAGCTCAAGTGGGCTCCTTGCTGATGCTGGTTGCTCCTCCAGGTGTAACAACTGTCTGATAAGAGGTATTCCTGGGGCCAAGGTTGTTCAGCAGAATGTGGCCGGCAGACTCTCAACTTGGCCCCATAATTGCTTTCAGATCCAGATTTCCTTTCAGTTCCTGTTTGCTCCTCGCATTTGTGTTTCAGAGCTCCAACTAACACAGCATGAGAAGAATCTGAGCCTCTTCTCTTTATAAGAAACAAGGTTGGTCAAGTGCGGTGGCTCATGCCGGTAATCCCAGCACTTTAGGAGGCCAAGGCGGGTGGATCGCTTGAGCCCAGGAATTTGAGGCCAGCCTGGCCAACGTGGTGAAACTCCATCTCAGGAGATACACACTTGTAATCCCAGCTACTTGGGAGACTGAAGCAGGAGACTCACTTGAGCCACGAGGTGGAGGTTGCAGTGAGCCAAGATCGCACCAGTGCACTCCAGCCTGGGTCACAGAGCAAGACTCTGTTACACACACAAAAAAAAGACAAGGTTAGCAGACCTCAAGGTGCAATTGAACACAAATGTGGGCAGCCAGGCCTGCAGCCACCTCCAAAATGATACCCTCTTCAACTGGTGGGTTCAGGAGTTTCTTCAGTGACTAACCAGACTGACTTGTTCTGTTTCCTCTAGTGGGATGTCCGTAAACTCCCTCCATCCCCAGGACCAGCCTAGCTCCTGCAGGTCCTGCAGAAAGAGTAGCAGTGGCAGCCTTCCTACCTTCCCTGTGGGCAGATCTTTGGGAAGTAAACAAATCACAGGAATAAAGTTTTGAGGCTTGATCCTGCCTAACCCAAATTAGCATATTAGCTGTTTTGTATCAGTTCCAGCTCAGCTTTCCCTTAGGCCAGCTACCTCCTCCTGTCCCTGGGGTCCTCAAGTGTGCATCTCCATCCACCCCGTGTCATCTCTGGGTTTACTCCTTTGTCAGGTCATAAAAGCCATTCAAGCCCATAGCCAAGACCTTCTCAGCACCTGTCTCTTATATTTCTCATTCTCGAGGTCCTCAGCTGGCACTGCCCTCTTGGATGTTTGTCCACGGCTTCCTGCCTCTGCAGCAAAAGCCCTCCACCTTCCCATTCTATTCTTTCCTCTGATTTGGCTGAAAGTCTTCTAGCTCTCTGAACTTATGCACTTAGTCTTGTCTTGTGTCCTCTTCTCCAAGCTAACAATATGGCATCTAAAATCCTAAAACCTGGTTCTACTCTGACAATTTTCTTCTTTATAAGAGGCTACAGTATGATACACAGTGCCCGCCTGGAGAGAGGGTAAGGGTGATGGTAAAGGACAGAATTTCCATCTCCAATCTCCATTTTGAGCAAAGAAGCATGGAGGATGGGAGTCATTGCTGGGACCCCAGAATAGAGTGTTCGGGGGTGAACAGGGGGAACATAAGACTGCTGAAGTATGAGGTTTGGGTTCTCATCTTCTTTCCAGTAGCCTTTTGGTCCCCCAGAATGATGCCTCCTAGAGGCCTTGCTGTCAAACTCAATAGGCAATAGCATGAAAGATTTGCTTAACCAGGCTCATGAGATCAGTTCTGAATGAAGATGTTCTTTTGTACTGAGCGGTGATGTGTGTCACCCTAAGGGATAGTAATGTAAAATGAAACCCAGAAGGTCTGGTCAAAACAGCACCCTCTGGGAATGAAGATCTAGTGAAGACTGGGGAGACAAATGCGGAAGAGCTCTGAACGGGACCACTCATTCTAGCTTTGTCTCCATAGCCTGCCCGCCCACGATGGATGAAGTGCGTGGAGGAGACCAGCACCTTCTTCCAGCCCACGCTGGCAGCTCTGTTTGTTCATGAGGCCTTTGGCCCGAGCACCCGAAGTGCTGTATGTGAGAGCTCTTCCCAGCCCACATCCCTCCACCCCTTCCCACCCAACCCAGCCTGCCCTCATTCTATGAACTTTGCCTTTCTCAGTGGTATGTGTGGTTGGGGAATTGGGCAGTCAGAGAGAGAAGGGCCACTGAGAGAGGGAACCCAAAGACCTGCTCCATCCCTGGGGTGGAAACAGTTCAGCTTCTGGACATGAAGTCTTGAGAGCATGCTGTCACTTAGACAAGTCACCCAACATTCCCTGTCTTGCATTTCTTCAACCATCAGATGAGAAAATCAAACACTATGATCTCTAAGCCTCCTCCCTGTGATATCTAAGATTTTTTTTAACAACACATGACATGACATCAGAACGGGATGACATAATCTCGAAGAGGGCAAATAAATCACCACTGAAAACTTCCTGAGTACCTACCACGTGGGACTCCCTCAAGCACTTTGCATGAACTACTTTATTTAGTTCCTATGATCCTGATTTTGTAGAAGAGAGAACTGAAGCAAAAACAGGTTAAGTGACTTGCCCAAGGTCACACACAGTTACCAAAAAGCAGAGACAGGATTTGAACTCAGGCATTCCGATGCCAGAGCACAAGCTCTTGATAATGCCTTTCATTTTCCTCCAAGGAAGGATTTCCATGAGGTGGTAGGTGGCTGGGGAAGCAGTGACTACACACTCAGGTTGTGAAGCTGGGGAGACTTGCTGGGAAGCTGAAGAGCTCGGGAGGATGGGGAGAGGGAGTGGATGCTTTAAAAAAGAAAGTGTGAGGACAAGAGCCCTGAGCCAGAGAAGAAAATGACAGCCCTCTCCTCCTTCTGCTTTCTGAGAGGTGTTCCTGCCCCCAGGAGTAAGAACACCATCTTTCTCCTTCATCAGGCTATTTCCCCATGGAAAGGAACTATCTCTCTCATGGCCTCACGGATGGCCAGCCCCACCTTCCCGTGGTGGGCTTGGCACTGCCCTCCTCTCTCCACCGATCCTCTGCCCGCTGGAGGTTTATGGCCATCTAGGAATGATCCTTTCCACATCTCTTTCTGAGCTCTTGCCTCTTCTCTAGCTGCAGCTCCAGCAAGGGCAGCTCCTTGAGGCCAAAGCCTTTTCCAAGGGTCAGAAGCTGTGGGCAGGGCCAGGCTGAGACCTCTCCTGATCCTGTCCCCTTATCCCCGGACCTCACTCTCACAGGCCATGGAATTATTCACTGTGATCCGAGATACCCTGATCACTCGCCTCAGAAAGCTTCCCTGGATGAATAAGGAGACTCAGAACATGGCCCAGGACAAGGTCAGGCCAGGTGTCCTGGCTGGTGTGGGAGCCTGTTGGGGGAATGGAGTATTGGACCAAGCCAGTCGGGGGCTGGAAGCAAGAGCCAAAGGTCTCCCCGGCACACAATAAGTAAGGAAGCCACTGTGCTGCGTGCACATCCTGGCAACAATGTGAGAGGCTGGGACAGGGCAACGAGCAGGAGAAATTCCCTCTGGTAGACTCAGAGTAGCTGGATTCCTACCCCCTTCTGTGTCTCTCTCCAGGTCGCTCAACTGCGGGTGGAGATGGGGGCTTCGGAATGGACCCTGAAGCCAGAGCTGGCCCAACAAGAATACAGCGATGTGGGTGCCTGTGCTGTCCAGCTCCTTCTCAGTCCTTGACTTCTCACTTCTGTGATCCTCCTGAGTCTTTGTCAGACAATCAGTTTCCCTGGGTGACTCAGCTCTGTCCTTGCCCTGATGCTGGCTGGTGTTCATGGGGAGATATCCACACCATAGGTCTTGCTGGCAGAAGAGCAGAATCTTTCCAGGTCCCAATGTGTGTGCCCACAGGCATGCATGCATCCTGTGACTGGCCTGGGCATGTTCATCTGTGTGCTGATATGTGTAAAGCCTGTGTGCTGTGTGGTGATGCCACTGGGCTGCTGTCCCCTGATCTCTGGATGCCTGTGTATCAGGGTTGTCTGTTTAGGGTCAAATGGACCCACTGGTGTATGTCAGCGCACATCTGTATAAGTCTCTGTGTGCCCAAGTCACCTCCGGCCTCTTCCCCAGATACAACTTGGACCCAGCTTCCTGCAGTCTGTCCTGAGCTGCGTTCGGTCCCTCCGAGCTAGAATTGTCCAGAGCTTCTTGCGGCCTTTCCCTCCGCACAGGTATGAGAGCAGGGAAGACTCGGGCGCTCCATCCCAGAGAGATCCATCCATGATTGGCAGGAAAGGAAGGCAGGGCTCAGGGCAGGCAGCACGAGCAGTAATGGTAGTTGGGACTGCGTGTGCCTCGGGGTGGCAGGGCAATACGTGGTGGGGGCTGCAATTCATATGTGCTCTTCCCGCAGGTGGCAAGTGTCCCCCTGGGAGGTCAGTGCTTACTATTCAACATCTGACCATGTGGTAGTTTTTCCAGCTGGACTCCTCCAACCCCCATTCTTCCACCCTGGCTACCCCAGGTATGGGTCACTCTGTGAGGGTAGGCAGGGGGTTTCCCAGGAGGGGCTGACAGCTGTTGGGATGGATGGGAGTTACAGTTGGAGAATTGGGGTCAAAAATGCTGAAAGAGTCTGGGGATCAAACAAGCTCTTATCTCCCCAGAGCCGTGAACTTTGGCGCTGCTGGCAGCATCATGGCCCACGAGCTGTTGCACATCTTCTACCAGCTCTGTGGGTAACAGGGGCCACTGGGAGGTGGGATTCTAGGGAACCCAAGGAAAGACCACAGGGGAGGTCTGCAGGGAAAGGAAGGTTATTTGAGGGTTTGAGGTGGGGCAGTCTTGGAAACTTTGCCATACTCCTGGGAGCCGGGTCAGTCTGTGGTACCCTCCCCCACCATCCTCATCTCTGCGGCACCAACCAACCCTCAACCGGGTGTTCTCTTGTCCCATTTTCAACAGTGCTGCCTGGGGGCTGCCTGGGCTGTGACACTCATGCCCTCCAGGAAGCTCTCCTGTGCCTGGAGCGCCATTATGCTGCCTTTCCATTACCCAGAGGAAGCTCCTTCAATGACTCCCTCACGTTGTTGGAGAATGCTGCAGATGCTGGGGGGCTAGCCATTGCGCTGCAGGTATGCCAGTGTCAGAGGCTGCTATGTACGTGTACTGGCAGACTAGAAAACATGTCTTTGAGTTTTCCTTCCACCATTCCTTATGCGAGTCCAGTCACATGGCTTTCTGCCCTTCACATCCCCCTGAACAGATGGCAACTTGGGGATCACCCCCCAATTCCAGCCATCCTCAGTTTTTAGGACATCTATAGGTCTTCTGGGAAGTACTCTTCCTTCTGGCTCAGATCAACTTGTCAGTGCAGAACCAGTGAGCCAGGGCCATGGGTTCAGCTACTGTGTGGAGGGACTTTCAAATGGCCACAGGTCTAGAGCCTAAGGGCCCCTCTCCACCCCACTCCTACCCAGGCATACAACAAGAGGCTGTTATGGCACCATGGGGAGACCGTCCTGCCCAGCCTGGACCTCACCCCCCAGCAGATCTTCTTCCGAAGCTATGCCCAGGTAGGTGGCAGCCACCTCCCGCCACAACTTGCTTTATGTCAGATGAACGCCTTATTCCGGAAGCTCATGGAAACTCCCCTCCTCAGACACCCCTCCCCCAAATACCCCAGACCCTCTGCCGCAGACATCCTCACTGTCATCCTTTCTCATCCCTCCCTGCTCCTTGGAATCACCACCCAGATGACTACAGGTTCTTCTACCAAATTCAGCACCCCCACAATTCAAAATGTAGAAAAATCTCTATTCCCAGGTTCCTCCAGGAGAGGAGACCAACTTTTTCTTCTCTCATGCTCCCAAAATACAGATGTCTTAAAAATGAGCCTGTGACTGGGCACAGTGGCTCACGCCTGTAATCCCGGCACTTTGGGAGGCCAAGGTGGGTGGATCACTTGAGGTCAGGAGTTCAAAAGCAGCCTGGTCAGCATGGTGAAACCCCCATCTCTACTAAAAATACAAAATTAGCCGGGTATCGTGGCAGGTACCTGTAATCCCAGCCACTTGGGAGGCTGAGGCACAAGAATCACTTGAACCTGGGAAGTGAAGGTTGTACTGAGCTAAGGTCATGCCACTGCACTTTAGGCTGGGTGGCAGAGCGAGCGAGACTCAGTCTCAAGGAAAAAAAGAGCCCGCGACAAGCTGACTGTGTGCCACATTCCTCTTCAGACGCCTCACCTTAAGTGTAGCGCCCACTTGATATCACCTCCTTAAGCACCCTGTGCCCCCTCAACAGACTCAGGCACGAGGTCTTCAACACGCTTAGATTAGACGTCCCCCCAGAGCTCCTGTGCTAGACCCCACCTCCCGGTCACTGGTAAATGGTATCATCACACAGCCCAGGCCCTCCTGGACTCCTGTCACAGGATTAAACAGCCTTTACATTTCTGATGCTCCATGTGGCCCTTGGAGGAGTTGATCCCCTGTTCCCTTCTTTGTCTGCTGTCCCTGGTCACCTCTTATCACCAGGTCAGCCTTGTCCTGTGGACCCTCCTCCTTCAATGTCCTTTCTTCCTGCTCAGGTGATGTGTAGGGAGCCCAGCCCCCAGGACTCTCACGACACTCACAGCCCTCCGCAGCTCCGAGTCCACGGGCCCCTGAGCAGCACCCCTGCCTTTGCTAGACATTTCCGCTGTCCACCTGGTGCCCTCTTGAACCCCTCCAGCCGCTGCCAGCTCTGGTAACGCAGCTACCAAAGATGCCACAGCACAGAAATATTGACCGACACCACCCTGGTCACATCCACAGAATCAGAGCAAGATCTCCTTTCCGCTTCTGTTCCAAAAATAAAAGCTGGCACTTGGCTTCCGCTTGTCTCTTAATGGCTTGTTCCTGCTACGTTTTATGCCTGGAAGTCAGAAACCAGGCGGGAGAAAAATACTCCGAAGTGAGAACAGAGAAGAGGGAGAAATGTCAAAAATATCTCATGGACACAAGAAAAGGAAAGAATCAGCAATTGGTGACCTGGTGCGTTTCCGCCCAGTGGACCAAAGATTGGACAATAAAGCAGTCTAGTTAGAGACGAGAAGGGCTGGGATTAAGTGTCGGAAAGCGGCTCCCAATTTTCTCAGGATTTTATTGCTATTTGATTGTCATTGCCTCTTCCCGCTAATCTGCTGTCCTGAACAAAAGCAGGGGAGCTGTGGGAGAGGAGGACGTGGGTCTGCTGTCTCTGGTCCCGGGAGATGAAACTCTGAGCCCAGAGAGGCAGTCAGTTGGCACTGCCGGCAACTGGTGTCTCTCCTGCTGAACCCTGAGGTACAGTGATGGTGATGAGAGGCAGAGAGCCATGCCTGCATCGCCTCTGGGAGTTGTGAGCTGGAGCCTATGGGGGGGAGGGGGTTAGCGAGTGAGCGTGAAGCAGAGGTAGATATCCAGGAAACAGGCTAACTCACTGGCAGCCTCAATGGCCCTCCCAAGAAAACCGTGAGGCTGGCCAGACTAAAGCAGAAGCCGAGGTGAAAAGGGTGGTGGTGAACAGCGGCCGTCTCGGACGTCTCGTCGTCTTCTTGCTGGGCCATGTCCACCGCCTGCCACATCTCCCCCACTGAGGAGGCCACAAAGTGCTCTTCGAACTCTTCTTGATTCTGCTCTGGAACAGGGGAAAAGGACGAGGACTGAGCCCTGACCCTGGCCTAAACCAGAGAGGATAAGTTAGAATAGGAAAGCCCAGGGCTGCAGGCCCAATTGCCCATATCCTTGACCTTGACCAGACAGTGGATGCTCTTTCTAGAGGTTTTTTCTGATCCGTGTTCAACCACAGCCCACAGCCACAGGTCAAACACACACACACACACACACACACACACATACACACACACACACACACACACACTATTCCTAAGGCTAGCTCCCTCCTCTAGGGTTTCAACACTGGGGGAGTCAGGGATCACCTTGAAGCATGACAAAAGCCAGCCAAATGCACCACGCTTACGCACACAGAGGTTGCGTGCAAGTTCAGCTGGCCCATGGTGTGCCCTGACACTATTATTTCACATGGTAACAATCAGGGCTGGAGTTTCCTCCCATAACCCAGACCCAGGTCAGGTCTCACCCTAGCCTCATCAGTGGCCTGGGCCCGGCCTCACACAGACCTGACCCTGAGCCTTCAGACTCTCCCGTCTTTTTTTTCTACCTACCAGCAAAGGTTGTTTTCTCTGTCTGGCTCCTGTCTTTGGGTCCTGGGCTCCCCTTCACAGGCTTCACCTGCAGCAGCAGCAAGATGGCAACCAGGAATGCTGCCCTGCAGAGCTGGCGGGCCAGGGGAGGCATGGATCTGCCAACCCACTGCCTTTGGCCGCCCCCTGCTCCCAGTGCCCAGCAGGCTACCCGCACCTCCTGCCCCATTCCTGTCCTGGCCCTGATCCCTTTCGAGGGCTGTTTTCTCCCCTTCCCTTCCATGGGACCCCTGACTTCACATGTTCTGTGACATCACAACTGTAGGCCCGACCTTCACTCCGGCTCCCTAGAGCATTCCGTTGCCAGGCATGAGAATGGAGCACAGCCAGCAGGGATGGCAGAGTCTTCCAAGATGAGCGCAGTGGGTCATCCTGTATTTAGCAACAGAAATGACCTAAGAATTTGGAATGTACATTCACATCCATTAGATCCACGTAGCAACGAGGACTGCAAAATCATAGTGTTGCCATACTTATTACATGCATGAGGAAACTAAGACTCACTGAAAAAATGACTCACCCAAAATCACCCAAATATTAAGGGGCAGAAAAGGACACTTGGTTAACTTTTACTTTAAAATATGATATTTTCCCACTATTCCACACGGCCTTTCTTTCAGAAGAGTAGTTTGCCTAGGATGAGGTTCAGAACAGATGTGCCAGCCAGGATTCTCAAGTCATGGGGTGAACATGCTGCTTTACATGAAGCATGGGTCTGCCAGAAAATAAAGATGGGGAGGAGCGCAGGGTGAGGGTGAGCAAGGGCGCAGGCTCTGTGTGTGTGTGAGAGACACAGAGACACAGAGAGACAGAGACAGACAAAGAGAGACAAAGATAGGCAGAGACAGACAGAGACAAAGACAGAAACTGAAGGGTAGAGACAGAGCGAGAGACAGAGAGAGATAGACACTGAGGAGAGAGACAGATGAAGAGAGTGAACAGAGAGACAAAGAGCAGGGTGCCCGCACCCAGTAGAACCCATTCCCACCCTCTCTTCATCTCCCCTGGTTTTCCCCCTTTTCTAGCCTTTGCCCTCTTGTACCACCAGGCTGAAATGCCCTCTTCTCTCATTTTACACCTTTCTGTACTCTTTTTTTTTTGAGACAGAGTCTCACTTTATAACCCAGGCAGGAGTGGGTTGGCGCAATCTTGGCTTACTGCAACCTCTGCCTCCCAAGTTCAAGCAATTCTCCTCCCTCAGCCTTCCAAATAACTGGGATTACAGGTGTGTGCCACCACACCGGGCTAATTTTGTATTTTTAGTAGAGACAGCGTTTCTCTATGTTGGTCAGGCTGGTCTCAAATTCCCAACCTCAGATGATCCACCCGCCTCGGCCTCCCAAAGTGCTGGGATTACAGGCATGAGCCACCGCGTCTGGCTCCTTTCTGCACTCTTGGACAGAAAGAAAAGGTTGTTAGCGGCTCATCTCCTATCCCATTGCTTGCCAGAAGGAGTTAAGAGTCTGCAGAGAAGCCACAGTGTGGCAGGGAGTCTGGAATCCCAAATAACAGATGTGGAAGAATCCTGCCTCAGGACCTGGATGCGCCTCCTGCCCATGAGGCTGGCGAGCACAGGTCTGTTGGCAGCAGCTGGATGTGGGTAGTCACCCCCAACTGCTTCTTGGGCAGAGATGGATGGAAGGTTGTAAGTTAGGGAGACAGACTGAAGGCCTTTTTTTTGAAACCAGAAACAGAGGCATATGCCATGAGATGCAGGATGGATGCTGACAGGTAAGAGGAGAGTTTAGTCACTCCTGCACTTTCATAACCAGTTCACGCTGCTCCTGCTCATCCATGCATACCAGCCCTGAATGAAACACCACATGCAGATCCAAGGACACTGTGGAGACAGGCACCCTTTCTGCAAGAGGGAACTTCAGAAAGGGTAACACACAAGGAGGTGCTTTCCCACAGAGGTTACTGGTGTTAAGAGACGCACCCATGTGGACGCTCTCTTGCATACGGCACACACCATCATCTCTTACACACTTTCTTCCCCATGGTCCAAGCCAGATGACGAGGGACTGGGGAGTGGTACAGGAGGTCACTTGAAGGTGAGTAAGGAAAGATTCAAGTAGGCAGGTGACCCTGCTCACCCCTACCTTCAACCCATTGACCTGAGATCCAAAGAATAATGCTTGAATGGAAAAAACCATCACTAATCTCCTCCCTCCTGGCTATTTTGGGGGAGGAGCCTCTTGGTTTCCTGGCAAAAAAGAGAATGCATCTCCAGCTCTGTGGGAATGAATGGGGAGGGTGGCTGGGGTGAGAACTGCCTCCTGGGGAGGCTTGAGTGGAAATAACTGAGTGGCACTGATTACCCTTACTTCCATTTCCTCACCACCACCACCCACCTGGCCCTGTGCTGTTGAAGGAGATAAATTCATGTAGAAAACAGGGAATCCCTTAAACATTTTTTTTTCTTATTACAAAAGTATAAAATATAGAAAAATGCAAACCCCAAAAAGGCTAATAATTCCACCATCCAGTGATAATCACAATTGGTTTTAAAGTATAGTATTTGAAACCTTTTCCTAGATGGCTGTGGCCACGTGGTTTGGGAGTATAATTCTGAAAAATGAAAATCCAGGTATTAAGTTTCCCCCTCCTCTTTATTATGTTAGAACAAGAGGTCAGGCTGCTTTGGTGTGAAAGCTTCTGGGACCTGATGGTGTAGTTTGGTGCCCGCAACCCAGTTCTCCTGCTGCCTGGAGATATTACGGACCATACATCAGTGGCGGGGAAGCTGGAGAGTGTGCAGGCGTCCTCACCTGCAGCATGCTGAGAGAGGCATGAAAAGAAAGGAGAGAAAAGAAAAAATAGAGTGGTGATGTCGAATACCACAAAAGGAAGTGACAGTAGGGAGAGAAGGCGAGGAGAGACTCCAAATCTCTCATCTACCAGCTGGGACGGCGGGGGGACACCTTGGTCCTCACCCAGGCTACTTGTCCATGCCCTTCCCATTGGGAAGGACAAGGTAAGCAGAGAAGGGAGATTGAGAAGGTGAAGATCCAGGGATGGGGGGGCCTGAGCACTGGGCCTCACCTTTCTCTTCCCCAGACCCCTAGACAATGCCCTTGGCAGCAAGTCCCTGCACACCTGCTCTGTGCAGCTCAGACTGGGCCAGCCTCCTCCCCTGCCTCAGCCGCTGCCGGCCCCCTACCCCCGCCCCCGTGTCCAGGACCAGCTTTATGGGTTGCAGTTTCCTTGGCAGGTGCTCCTTTCCTGGAGTGCCTAGCTTATCACGGCATCTACAACCCCCACCTCACCCTTATCTCTCCCTCCATCTCCTTAGACTCGAAGTCACTCCACAAGGCCCTCACCCCCAGCGGGGCAGAAGAATGTCTCACAAGTTGAGCCCTCCCTACTCCCAGTGAGAACATAATTCCCCCATATATATTTTTCTAACTTTTCCTTTTGGCTTTTAATAAGAAAAAGATCCAAATTTTCCCCTTTTTGAAACATCAATGGATATTGGCTTCTGTGACTTTCCTTATTTAATTTCCTTGCAATTCTTGTCCTTCTCTAAAGGTGTTTCTGTCCATCCTGACAATCTCTGGAGCAGATCTCTCTTTCTTGCAACAAAAGAAGGGGGCAGTCCCCACTCTTCAAGACTCCCAGAGGGAGGGCCCCAGTGTGTCCTCACACTGGCCTCTCACATCTTTATAGCCAAAAGGTTCCTAAGAAGCAGCAAGGTCTGGAGAGCGGTTTGGAGCTGAGATCCCACCTTCAAAACCAGTTCCAATATCACCACTAACCATGAGGCTTGGAGCCAGCACATCCACAAATTCTCACACAGAGAATTCTTCCTTGTTCCCATTTACCTATAGGTCTATTGAGTGAATACAATTCCATAATATTGATGTATATCTTTGAAAACAATGAGAACATATACAACACGAGCTATCATATACAGCAGCCTCCTCTTATCCTCAGGGGATACATTCCAGCATCCTCCAGTGGAGGCCAGGAACTGCGGAACTGTGGATAGGGCCAAACCCTGTATAAACTGTCTTTCTCTCTACACATACATACATACATGTGATGAAGTTTAATTTGCAAATTAGGCACAGTTAAGAGTTTAGGCCAGGTGCGGTGGCTCACGTCTGTAATCCCAGCACTTTGGGAGGCCGAGGCAGGTGGATCACCTGAGGTCAGGAGTTTGAGACCCGCCTGACCAACATGGTGAAACCCTGTCTCTACTAAAAATACAAAAATTAGCCAGGCATGGTGGTGGGCATCTGTAATCTCAGCTACTCAGGAGGCAGAGGCAGGAAAATAGTTTGAACCTGGGAGCCAGAGGTTGCAGTGAGCCAAGATTGTGTCATTCCACTCCAGTCTGGGTGACAAAAGTGAAACTGTCTGAAAAAAAAAAAGAGTTTAACAACAATAAAGAAAATAGAAAATTATGATAAATATACTGTAATAAAGGTTATGTGAATGTTCTCTTTCTCTCTCTCTCTAAATGGTACTGCACTCACCTATTTTCCAACTGTGGCTGACTTTAGGTAACTGAACACTCAGAGAGTGAAACTGTGGATAAGGGAAACTACTTAATAAAATAACGCAACATTACTCATTCCTCTTGGTATTTCATTCCTGAAGAGTCCCAAACATAGAATGATGATTTCTTTGTCATCTACCTTTGCTCAGTTTCTGCTGTTCAACCTCTATAGAAACTCGGGGTCACCAGGGACTCCTCTTACTTGTATCTCCAGGTATAGGAGAACCTGCTCAGAGACACTCCAGGAAGTTGGCCGGTCAAGGTCATGAGGACTTCTCACAGGGAGCAGTTGGTCTGGGAAGGGGGGGGCAGGAACCCTGGAGATGACCACAAAACACATAAATGGGAAGCTCTGAGAAGCAGCCTGGGGGTCTCTTGAGCCCACTTGTGGAACAAGGATCAGCAGTGATTGCATGCTTGTGACACATGCTTTCCAGATGCTCCCGTGAGACAGCATAGCTGTTACCCCAGTTTCACAGGTTAGGAACTGAGGATCAGAAAGCTCACCTAACTGTAAGGAATAAGAGTCAGGATTTGAACCAGGCTCTGCCTGACTCTTGAGCTGAAGATCTTTACTTCCTCCTCTCCCTCATCCAATGATCTGCCCACCTTGTTTGTGGACCTGCCTTCCATCCCTTTTCCTTTTCCAAACTCCTCTGCCCCACCCCTCAGCTTCTCCGGTCTCAGCAGTCCCAGTCCACAGTTAGGAACCTTCCCCTCCTCCTTTTCTTCTCCTGGGTGGTTCTGTGGCCCTGGGGCTCAGCTCTGCAAATAGCTCCTCCCCCTCCAGGAAAAGCACTTCTCCCTAGGCAGGGTGGTCAGTCTCCTCAGTGCACCTGCGTGCACACACCGCACCTCACAACCACACACTGCACCCCCACACACCAACAGACACACACTGTGCACACACACACACACCTCACAACCCACATACTGCATGCACACGCGCGCGCGCGCGCGCACACACACACACACACACACACACGCTGCATGCTGCATACACAAGTCACATGGGAAATAAACTCCTGTCCCAGCTCCAAACAGACCCCATCTCTGGCTCAACTGCTGTCATCCTAGACCTGTTTATTTTGCTACATTTCTAAAATCTGCCAGTGCCTGCAAAAAGAAGACATGGGAGGTTTTCTACCCAAGGCAGAAGGGCCCGGGAGCCAACTCCAGAAACTTCTGCCTTCCTTTCTGGTCAGAGAACAAGACTGGGACCAGCACCTGGACAGGCTTCACATGCTGCAGCAGAAGAGGTAGGCTTCCCACGGGACCCAGGTCCCTCCCGCCACAATCCTCAGACCCTCTGACACACCTGGGTCTGCTTCCTGGATAGAGCACCCTAGAATTCAGCGCCAGTCACGTGAACACACCCTTTCCTTCCAGCAACCCTCCCCACGCCCACCACCACCAATTACAGAATCCCAGCTGGCTCCTTTTAGTGGTGGTGGAGGATATGGCTTTGGGCCACACAGGAAAATCTTGAGGGTAGACCTAAGGACAAAGGCAGAATGACAGCAAGGGGAGTGAGCAGACCAAAAAGGGCCCGAGGGAAGAAGCCAGGGTGTGTGGGACGGAGAGGGCAGGTAAAAGCAGGCTGCTGGAGGGGGGTTGCACTCCTGTGAGTGGCGGAAGAACGATGAGGAATCGACACTCATTTGAATGAAAGAGGATTGTGTGGGAAAGGGGTGAACTTTGTTTGGTGTATCCCTGGGTGCTGACCAGCTGAGGAGGGCTGCTCAGGTGGCACTGGAGGTTGCTGAGTTCAGTCCATCTGCCTTTTATGGAGTCTGCTTTGTGCAGAGGGGTGCTTGATCCCAAGGATGCAAAGGCTGAGTGGGGCTCGTGCCTGCTCCTGGAGAGCTCTCAGAGCTGGCAGGGCTAGCGCACCTGCAGGTAGATCATTTCATGGCTTTGCCCTACGGTCCAGTTCCAGGAAGAGCAGCTGGGGCAGGGATGAATCCCGCAGGCAGCCTCTGCTTCCAGGGGTTCTGGGGCTTGCCTTTTGCCTTTAGCCTTTTGTGGACCTGCCTTTCATCCCTTTTCCTTTTCCAAAAAGAGCTGTTTGAGGATTTAGGTTGGTAAGCAAGCATTGGCAATCACAAAGGGCTCCCCTGTGTTCCAGAAGAGTCTTGTGCTTGGTTCGATGTCCTTATCTTGAAATTCTTTTTTTCTTTATTTTTGAAACAGAGTTTCGCTCTAGTTGCCCAGTCTGGAGTGCAATGATGTGATCTCAGCTTACTGCAACCTCCTGGGTTCAAGCAAGTTTTCTGAGTAGCTGGGATTACAGGCATGTGCCACCATGCCTGGCTAATTTTGTATTTTTTTTTTTTAGTAGAGCCAGGGTTTCTCCATGTTGGTCAGACTGGTCTTGAACTCCCGACCTCAAGTGATCTGCCCATCTCAGCCTCCCAAAGTGCTGGGATTACAGGTGTGAGCCACCGCGCCCAGCCTGAAATTCTTATTAATTTTGAACAAGGGGTCCAGCATTTGCAGTTTGCATTGGGCCTGGTCCCAAGTGCTTGTGAGCCCTCATACTGGCAAGCCCTCTGCTTCCTCACCTCCCTACCCCATTGCTGAAGTGGAATCTTTGAGCTTCCTGCTTTAGAGTGGGACCCCTGGGTCTCTGGGAAAGGGGGCTTCCAGCCCAAACCTGGACCCTCTGCAGAGAGGCAGTGGGGCTAGAGGGCTAGAGAAGCAAGAACCTTTTTTGTGCAGTGGCCACAGGATGGGGGTGAATTTACAATGCCAGCCCTGACCACTCTGGGCTGGTCTGGAACATTGGGCTCCCTGGGACTGATTTCCTGGATGAGATGGGGCAGGGAACTGACTCCTCACAAAGGCCCCTCCTAGGGGCGCTGCCCGAACATGGAAACCCAGGCCCCACCTTTAGATTAAACTTCTTTAAATAAAAACACTTATTCACTCTGGCTCCTGGGGCTATTGGAAGAGAGAAATTTGGAGGTAGGGGACCTCAGAGCAGCCACTCCTTGGCCTGTCCTTTCTGTCCTTCCCCTCCAGACCCTGTATTTGCCATTGGGGCCAATACTTGCATATGTCTAGTTGGAGAGGCTCCGGCTTTATCTCTTGTTGGGTTCAAATCTGGGTATGATAGAAACGAAGATTAACAGAGTCCTGTAGAATGAACATCTTAACCTGCTTAAGACACCCAAATAAACAAGCTGCTTAGACCCTTGCATCTAAGGGTATAATGCAGAAGAAACAGATATCCCTTACCTCACACCACAACTCTCCACTTTCTGTGGGGACCTGTATTGAAATAGGCTGAAGATGCCAGGTTCAGTGTAATCCCAGCACTTTGGGAGGCCAAGGCAGGGGGATTGCCTAAGCTCAGGAGTTTGAGACCAGCCTGGCCAACTTGGCAAAAGCCTGTCTCTACTAAAAATACAAAAAATTAGCCAAGCATGGTGGTGGACACCTGTAATCTCAGCTACTCGGGAAACTGAGGCATGAGAATTACTTGAACCTGGCAGGTGGAGACTGCAGTGAGCAGAGATCGCACCACTGCACTCCAGCCTGGGCGACAGAGCAAGACTCTCTCAGACAGACAAACAAAGCTTGAGGGAGTCGTCAGAACTTCAGTGGCTCACGAATTTCACAAATTTCAAAAGGTCTAAGAAAGATCTAATAGTCGGTCCATTCCTCCTCCCTCTCTGTTTTGTTTTCCCCCAAACTCCCCTTGGTTAGAGGCAGCAGGTCCGGCAGTCCCGGGAGCCAGGGGACCGCAGAGGGAAGTGCCCTCCGTCCCACTCTTCAACTATCTAGGATCTGAGATAGTTACTCAGGTTAGGTGAATTCAGCCACGCCTAGGGTCCTCCTCTTCTCAGAGACTCTCAGACCACTCTTTCCAGACCACACCACAAGTTCTCTTCCCTCCTGTTCTAGGCCCTTCCATGAACTCTTCCCCTCCAGCAGAGCTTCAAGGCCCACCCTCACAGGAGAATCACCATGATGTGAATTGCAAGGAAGGCCCTGGGGCTGAGCCTTGCCCAAGTCCACCCTCGGTCATTCGAGTCCAGTAGGCACTTCTTTCCAGTGTCACTGCACACTGTGTGCATCACGTTGGTCTTAGAGAATGTCTCAGATCCCCTTTGCTCTTGGCCTTGTTCTGCTCTGACTGTCTCTTCCAAACGCATGTTTACCTTGCCCCAGGATTCTAGAGTCTCCACTATTTCGAGCAGCCAAGGAAAATGACCTGTCTGTCCTTAGGCAACTTCTACTGGACCGCACCTGTGACCTCCGACAAAGAGGTGGGATCTGGATTTCATGGGATGGAGGTGGGGGCAGAAGCACCTACCCCCCTCCGCAGGACTTTAAGCTTGTGAAATGGGGCCTTGGAGGGTCTCTCTGGACCCTGAGGCCCCTTCCTCAAGGGAGCCTGGGAAGTGTCTAACATTCCTCTCTTACTCCACTCCAGGAGCCCTGGGGGAGACGGCACTGCACATAGCAGCCCTCTATGACAACTTGGAGGTGGCCTTGGTGCTGATGGAGGCTGCCCCAGAGCTGGTCTTTGAGCCCACCACATGTGAGGCTTTTGCAGGTAAGGAGGCCGCACAGTAATTCAAGGCAGAAACTTTTGAGATGGGGGGTGTGCTGTTGTCTCTTAAAACTGGCCTCTGAAGGATGGGGTGGGGTGGGGTGATGGAGGGTCAGGAGGACAGGCTCCGTTGAGTTGGGAGAAATGCAAAGGGCCCGGTCTTGGCTCTTAGCGATCCGTGGCTTCCTTTAGCATTTCCTCTCCATCCTCCCACAGCCCCTGCAGGACCTATCTCAATTTCTTTCCCTCTTAGCAACATGAGAATGACTATATTTGCAGCAATCCCCTGCCGGTGCCCAATAGCTGAGGGATGGATACAATGGGCAGGGCAGCCTGAGGAGCGAACCACTGTCAGTCCCAGGCCACCCTCCCAAGCCCAGGGCAGAAAAGTCTATGCAAAGATCCATCAGGAACCTCCTGAGAGGAATGGTGGCGGATGCTGTGTCCCTGAGAGAACTGGGACAGAGGCAGACCCCTGATGACAGCTGTCTCTGGGCCAGGTCAGACTGCACTGCACATCGCTGTTGTGAACCAGAACGTGAACCTGGTGCGAGCGTTGCTCACCCGCAGGGCCAGTGTCTCTGCCAGAGCCACGGGCACTGCCTTCCGCCATAGTCCCCGCAACCTCATCTACTTTGGTGAGAGCAGGGCTGGGCTTGGAGGAGGGGCAGCCGGAGAGGCAGGCAAGGCAAAGGGAGGCCAGGGCAGCAGGGTCCTGCCTTCAGCCCCATCTGTTGGGCAGCTGGGAGGGGCAGCCCTTCTAGGGCTTAATTAAGCCAGAGGCCAATTCCTTCCATGATCCTTCCTCTGGATCTGCTGGAACAGTGTCCCCCCAAGCCCAGAGCTGAGATGTGGGGGAAGAGGAGGAGGACATTATTTGGGATAGACTGCCCACCCCATCCTGCTGTCCTGCACTCTCCTGCCATGGATCTCTCTGTGTCCCCAGGGGAGCACCCTTTGTCCTTTGCTGCCTGTGTGAACAGCGAGGAGATCGTGCGGCTGCTCATCGAGCATGGAGCTGACATCCGGGCCCAGGACTCCCTGGGTAAGAGCTGGGATGGGGAAGGAATCTGGGATGCTGCAGGGAGCCAGGGGCAGGGTGAAGAGAGGATCTGGGATCTTCAGGAAGACCCCTGACTGGGGATGGGGACATCAGGGACATTAGGCCAGTGCCCACATGATACACTGCATCCTCCCCAGGAAACACAGTGTTACACATCCTCATCCTCCAGCCCAACAAAACCTTTGCCTGCCAGATGTACAACCTGCTGCTGTCCTACGACAGACATGGGGACCACCTGCAGCCCCTGGACCTCGTGCCCAATCACCAGGGTCTCACCCCCTTCAAGCTGGCTGGAGTGGAGGGTAACACTGTGGTGAGACACACTCCCCATCCCTGAGGTGTCTTTCTAATGACCTTCAACCTACCCCGCTGGCCCTGGGAGAAACCGAGGTGAAGGACCCACCTTTTTCTAAAATCCCTTTTCCCCACACTCCCCAAAGGGATGGTGGTCCCTTGCTTCCTATTCCATCACTGAAATCTTCAGCCTCAAGTTCCTCGACTCAAGAGGATTTGAGAACCTCACCTTAATGCATGTGCTATGGTAACCCACAGCTCTAGCTTCGTTTGCCTATTTTCTTCTTTCTGAGCTCTCTGGGGTTTTGGAGCAGGAAAAGTGACAAAAAGGGAACGCTTGCAGATACAGGTTTGCTGATTCCCCACTGTCTGACTGTCTCAAGGGGTGGGCAACTGCCTCCATCCAATGCAGTTGTTCCTCTAGACCACCTTCTCACACGCTGACCCCTGACCCATCCCGGTGGTCTCTCAGATGTTCCAGCACCTGATGCAGAAGCGGAAGCACATCCAGTGGTCATATGGACCCCTGACCTCCATTCTCTATGACCTCACGGAGATTGACTCCTGGGGAGAGGAGCTGTCGTTTCTAGAGCTTGTGGTCTCCTCAGATAAACGAGAGGTATGGATGCCAAGGGGGACCAGGGCTGCCGTGTGAGGGAATTTAGTGCTTGTGCAGAGTCTGTCCACTCACTAAGATCCTGGGACCGAGGCACTTCCCAGCCTTAGAGTAGGTGGAGATTAAAACAATCTCCTGGGACCTGGGGAAAAGCCCAGTGCACATTCTTATCCTGAATCCCCTGAATCTCTGCTTAGCTACAGTCCCTTCTGCCTACCTTCCTCATTCTAACATTTCAGATGAGAAACTCCAAATCAGAGTGGTTTTCTCATATTCATTCATTGGATCAGCATTGATACGGTTTGCATTTTTGTCAAAATGCAAAAATTTCATGTCGAATTGTAATCCCCAGTGTTGGAGAAGGGACCTGGTGAGAGGCGATTGCATCATGGGGGCAGACGTCCCTCTTGATGTTGAGGGATGTGGTGGTGAGTTTTCACAAGATCTGGTTGTTTAAAAGTGTGTAGCACCTCCCCTTGCTCTCTCTTCCTCCTGCCCCAGCCATGTAACATGTGCCTGCTTCTCCTAGGCATTTTGCCATGATTGTATGTTTCCTCAGTCCTCTCCAGAACCTGTACAGCCTGCAGAACCATAAGCCAATTAAACCTTTTTTTATTTATAAATTACCCAGTGTCAGGTAGTTCTTTATAGTAATGTGAGAATGGACTAATGCAAGCATATTGAACACCTGCTGTATGTCAGGCACTGCACAAGAAACCAACAATACAGAAATAAATAAAACACAGTTTCTGTTCATTGACTTCCTCAATTCTCAGTCCTTGTCCTGGATAATTGTAACAGAGTAGGACATATGTCATAATAATGGTGTGTACCCTGCATGCAGACAGCCACATTGAGGTCAAGTTAACTTGGCTTGGATAGACCAGAGAAGATGTCACACATTAAATGCTGGGGCTGGATCTTCAAGGAAGAATTGGGAGTCTCCAGGAAGATGAGAAAAAAAAGAGCTTTTAAGAGAGGGAGCAACATATAAGCCCTTCAATAATGCTGGGTTGAGTGATGTGAGGGAAAGGAAAATTTGTTGAAGATTGCAGTAGAGAGGAGAAAAGACCTCCAGGTTTCAGGATGCTCCACGAGAGTGCCAAGATGTGGTTTCTACTTTTTATCTGCCACATGGCAATCTCCCAGGAACCCTTATAGAGCCAGAAAACATGATGACTTAATACTAATGAATAGAAGAAAAGTCGAGTGGCCAGTTTGTGAGATCTTCCTCAGAGAATATCCCTGGAAACAGATTAACTTTGAGCAGGAATTAAAAGCGCAATCCCACGTGGATTTCGCCACTACATATCCTTGGTCTTTATTTAAGTTGTTCTCAATATTCTCCAGGAGGTTTCATACCTGTCTTGGGTCAGTTGCTTTTTTTTGTCCATAAATCTTCCTCTCTCGCCCTATTTCACATCCCTCGCTATCTTCAGCTGTAGTTCTGAAGACCTAGACCCCTGCCTTAGGATAAAAATAGAGGCTTTCTGGCTGGGGGTCCTTTAGCTTCCTGCCCTAAACTGCCAGGCATGTCTGGAAGTTGCCCACTGTCCCTCTCCTCCCCTCCAGCTTCCATAGAAAAGGTGTTCTTGCTGTTAATGGCTACTCCACTGCGCTTTGAATCTGCCTCTTTCTAATTTCTCAGATGCCTCCTTCTGTCCATCATCTCCTCTCCTGTGTGTCTTTAACATCTCACTGATTGCTTATATCAGAGCACGATCCCACCCTGCCACATCCTACTGCCTGTAACCTCCATTGCTTCTTTCTAGCCCAGCAATACTTCTAGAGCAAATCTGACCACTTCCCTGCTTGAATTCCCCAATTGCTTACTGTTATATTTAGAAAAAGCAAAAAATGCAAACTTCCTACCTTGGCGTTTATGATGCATGACGCCCTTTTCTACCTCAGTCATTATATTTTTGCTCACCACTCCCAGTAGATTCTCCCTTCTCCCCAACTACACCTCAGCTGCAAATGGGCAATGGGTTCTCAGAGCTTCCTGACCTGACAACTGCTGCTACCTTATGGTATGATCTTTCCTAACTCTCCCTTTACTCAACCAACTACTATTCATCCTTTAAATCCTCTGTGGTGCTACAGTGTCTTGTGTTTACTGCTGTAATAGTCTATCTGTGTCGCTAGCACAAGGCCCAGCATATACAAGAAATATACTATTTGTCCATCAAAGAAGTGACTGATGCGCTGAATGAGTGATGCTTACTGCCCTGCCTCTTCTGGTACACAGTGAAAAAAACAACACCCTTCTGTGTTGTTCATCCCAAGTTTCACTCCACTTTCATGGCAGGCTCGTCAGATTCTGGAACAGACCCCAGTGAAGGAGCTGGTGAACTTCAAGTGGAGCAAGTACGGGCGGCCGTACTTCTGCGTCCTAGCTGCCTTGTACCTGTTCTACATGATCTGCTTCACCATGTGCTGCGTCTACCGCCCCCTTAAGTTCCGTGGTGGCAACCGCACTCATTCTCGAGACATCACCATCCTCCAGCAAAAACTACTACAGGTGATTGTTCTTCTCAGAAGGGGATGCAAGGGAATTGTGTCATGGGGTTGATGGTGCTGGAAAGGAATTGATGTTACTCAGGGATGACACCACCCTCTGGGTTCCAGCAAGTGTGGGCTCCTGAAAGCCCAGGTCGAAATTAGACATGAGACCAGGAGGCCACAGATGGGCTTTAATAAGTACAAGAATGTTTGTCCAGGGAGCTGTGGATTTTCTCAGACAAACTTTGAAAGAGTACTTGGAATGAGTAAGCCTGTGCATTTGTGAAATTTTTTGGTAATTTACAAAAAGTATCATGCTTTTGTAGTGGGATGTTTAAGGTAAACTCTATTGCTTGAAAGGAGAAAAATTGCTCCAAGTCAATTTCTGAGTCCATTTCTGCTGTGTTGGGGCAACACGGACAGCCCTGCTGGCCTGCAACCTCTTCTGTGCATGGTCTACATGAGCCTATGGGAATAACGGGTCAGCCATCTGCCTGTCAGACACTCTGCAGAAAGATGTCTGGATTGGGTATCAGGTTGAAATAAATACCCTCTGAGATTCCATTTACTGCTGTAGGGCTGCCATTCTGTGTTGTGGTTGACAAGGGAAACCTGGGGTGAGGAAGAGGAATGATCAGAGGTACAGAGTAAATATAGAAATCTGCTGTTGAAGAAAGTAACCCCCTTTTTTTGGCAACAGAAAGGGTAGACTCTAATGAGCACTTCTGAACATATATATTTAACAAATATAGCGACATTTGGGGGTTGACTCTTTGTGGATTACTAAAATTTTTGTTCTGGTGAGCTGAAAATACACAGAAGGTGATTAGGTACATAGGCAGAAAGCAAAAGACCAGGAAAAAGAATTTTGCAAAGCCAAGTGAGAGCTGAGTGACTGAAGATGATCTCAATGCAGGAGAGGGCAGCTACAGGTATAGCTCAACCTGGACTAGGAAGAGAGGTAGTTTGGGTCTGAAAAAGAATATAAACTTTCTATAGCCAAGAAGCAAAAATCCTGAGTTGGTTTAGACCAAAGACAGCGGTATGCACAGAGAAAGAACACGGCAAAGATACCCAATGAACCCCATGCTAGGTAGAGGCACGTCACCTCTCCTGTTTCTAGAATTGCCTTTCTATATATATATGCAGTGTGTCATGTGTCCAGAGCCACTGCCTCTCCCCAGGTAGGGTTGCTGCCTGGGGAAGACAAGGCTGAGTGTGTTGGCGACGCGCAGAGAGGCTGTGCTCCGTGCATCTCAGTCTGGACACAAAAGTTGTCCCTGGCATAGGACATGAGGGAGATAAGGACAGTTAGGAGATGGCAAGTGGAGGGAGGAGTGATTAAAAATTGAGAAAATGTGTACACACAAACACGTTGGGGGTGGCTGGACTTTTCCAATGCTCCTGGCCCTATTTCCTCCGATATGTCTTCTCCAGCCTTCCTTTTGTCTCAAACTTATTTGGAGATTTTCTGCATTTTGAATGTAGACAGTATTCTGGGTTAAAAGGTGGACAATGCTGAGCCATTGATGACCAGAAATCTCCTTCCTGTGTGTCTCTTTCTTCTTGGGACGAGGCTAGTTATGTACAAACACGTTTCTTTGATCCAGATAGTCTATGTTTAAAAGATCACCTCCTTTGCTTCAGGACTCAGAAGCATAATTATAGCTGCACACCTGACCCATCCTTCTTTTTTTCTCTCTTCTGCCTTCCTTCCTGTTCCTTGGCATTTTTACCCTTTTGCCTTCTGCTTCAGTGAAAGCCACTTCAGCTCAAATCGAAGACTTTGGACTTTCAGGTATTCTTTTCTAGGTGGAGAACTGTGTGGTTAAGAAGATTAGGAATGCTGCTGGAAGGGGTTCGATAACAAAGAACACTAGTGAAAGGCCCCTGTGCTTTGAGCCCCAGACCTGATTCATGGGATGACTATATTTGTCTTCAGTAGTAAGCCCATGTGGATTAGATCAGGGGCTTCTAAACTTATCACCGTGATTTGGAAGATTCTATTTTCACAATGCACCAGATTTGCTAAATAATAGGAAATTCATGTTTTTTTTCCTACTGTTTTCTTACTTGAAAGTCTTAGAAAAAATGAAAATGCACAAATACAATGTCTTGATTTGAGGCATGCAATTGTTGACATATTTGTTAGCCGGTGGAGCGTTTTCTTAGATGAATGAATACTTTACCATCCAATTATATTAATAACTCTGGGATCACAGGGATCTCAGTTACTTCAGGACTTCCTCTGCAGATCTCTTGGGATCTGTGGAAATCACTGGGCTCCATGACCCCTAAGATCCTTTCTAGTTTAATATCTGGGGTTTTATGGGAGTAGTGCAACAGCAGCATCTCGGAACAGGTGAAAGAAAACAAATTCCTCTGGATAAGGCAGCAAAAACGATACAAAAACTGATGTATGTAAAGCTGGAGTTAGTTTATCTCTATCCGATTTGGGGGGCTATCTTAATGACCCTAAGATCCCTCATTGTTCAGCCATGAAAGTTCTGTTTCACCAGGGATTTTCCAGAACTCTATTAATTTGAGTTAACTTCTTATCTCTACTTGGTTTAGGCAAAGCAGCCTGCACTATAGTAAAAGTTCTCTTAGGTTTCCAGGTGAGCAAAAAGTTCAAAGTCCAGGAGTCCAGCAGCTTGGGTTTTAGCCCTAACTCTGAAATTTAACGGTTGTGTGTCCTCGGGAAAATCCTACTTCCTATTAGATCTGTGATTTTTAACCCAGACAGCACATTAGAAACCTAGTAAAAAAGCTAGTAAAATGACCGGCTCCTAGGCTACACCCTAGACCTAATAAGTTAGAATGTCTGAAGCGGAGGCTCTGGCCTTGGCACTTTTAAGAAACTCTTTGAGTAAGTCAAGTGTTCTGCCAGGGTTGAGAACCCCTGGCTTCCATCTTTGAGGTCCATGTAGCTCTGTCTTTCCAGTCCTAGGTCCACCAGTCTGGTCACTGAGATTCCTGGAGCACTGTTCAGCAGGGTGTTCTAATTTCTCATCACGTCTCTGTTTTGACTTTTGAAAAATATTTTCTTGAGCCCTCCTTTGCTTTTCTCTTTCCCAGAAATGTTTTGCTAATCCATTCATTAAATAAATTATTATTGAGAGCCTCATACAGGCTAAACAACTATTTCAGGTGTTGGAAATTCAACAACCATAGTCTGAGCAAAACACTCATGATCTCTGCTTTCTTGGCGTTTATAGATGGGTTGATATTAATCAAATGATCATGCAAATAGATATTTCATTACAGCCTGAGTCTATTGGCATCAATGTTATTATTATTTTTTTTTCTTATGATGAGAAAAGCACAGAGTGGGAAAAAAACTTATAACAGGGGTCTGGTCCATCTGGGAGGCCAGAGACTGCTTCTGAGAAAGATTACTGAGCTCAGATCTAAGTATGAATTCAGTGTGAAAAGAGAGTTCTAGACAGAGAGAATGGATATTCAAGGCCTCAGGGCAGGAAGAACCTCATCAAGGTCTAGGAACTGTAAGAAGTTTCGCTAGAGCACAGAGGGCCGGGGTGGGTGCCTCCAGGTGAGGTTGTCCAGGCAGATCCTTCCCAAATTATGTAGAGCCTTAAAGGCCATGTTGAGGATTTCACTCCTTATCCCCAGGGTAATGGGAAGTCAGAAGGATTTGACAAGGGGAGACTTACAGGGTAATTTTTGCTTTAGAAAAATTACTTTGCTTGCATGGTGAATAACAGACGTGTGGGGTGGTAGGAAGGACATGGGGAGACCAGTCAGGAGGCTATTACAGTTTAGCAAGCAAAAGATAATGGTAGATTGGCCTAGGAATGTATTGGGGAGATGGAGGGAAGGGATTGGCATCAGGACTTGTTGAAGGCAAAAATCATCCCGACTGTGTTTCCGTCTTGTAAAAATCATCTTCTACCTGTCACAGTCAGTGGGATCTATTTGTCTGCACATCATCGTCCCTCGTAAGTTCTGAACAACCCAAAGCACCACTGCTATTTGAAAAGCGACTGGTTGCCAACTCTATACACCTCTGTTCAGGGGTTCTACCAACACAAGGTGGAGCAAGCACAGCACGTTAAAGACAGGGAAAGAGATGAGGAGAACCAGGGAGCCTGGTAGGTAGAAGTAACATCCACTGAGCACTTATCATGTGCACTTCACCTGCATCCATCAGTGTTTTTGAGGCCTTATTAAATGTGGACTGTGACAGTAAGGCTGGGTAGGACCGGAGACTTGGCATTTCCAGCAAGCTGCCAGAGGAGGCCAATGTTGTGATTCTGTGGACCATGTTTTGAGTGGCAAAGCATTGTTCTACCTTTAATCTTCATAGAAATCCTAACAAGTAAATACAGTCATCACCACTTTAAAGATGGTGAGTCTGAGGTCAAGAGAGGTTGAACACTTTGGCAAAGACACTCAGCGAGCAAGGGCAGCACAGGGATTGGACTGCAGGTCTGCTTCCCTTCAGAATCCTCACCTTTAAACACCAGACAAGTCTGCTTCTCCCTGCAGAGTGATGGGCCAGATCCCAGGCTTCTCTCAGCTAGACAGGGCTTGCCACACTCACTTGTATCTACACATGTCATCTTCCCCTGTCAAGATGAGCAACACTTGAGAAGTGCCATAGGAGGGGATCAGATCGAGAAGGATTCCCATTCCCAGATACTGTCCTACTGGCTAGTCTCTAGTTTGGATCATTGGCACTATTTTTTGATGGGGTTAACCTACTGGCATACAGAGCAAGTCATGATTCTGTGAGAATGAGTAAAGACTCTGCAGAAGAAAGAAGTCATTTCCCAAGCCAATCCTCCTGAGAAAATGCAGAGACTTAGACATGAAATTTACCCTTGGAAGGCAGCTTGACTTAAATGGGAACCAGATCTCTCTCTCTCTCTCTCTCTCTTTATGGCCCAGTGGTTCTCAACTTGGGGTACATGTCCAAAACATCTACAGAACTTTTCAAGAAAATGGCAGGGCATGGTGACTCACACCTGTAATCTCAGCACTTTGGAGACCAAGGTG